AATAATGAATATTTTAATTTATAAATTACCACTGAAATCTTATATTGAATGATTATAATGTAACAGTAGATGTTTTATGTAAATCGTGGACAGTTAAATATCTTCATTAACAGAAGCTTGTAACACTGAATTTTATCTGTAAACATTGTTATTTTCTTGAAAATATGAAGTGAATAAAATATAGTTTAAATAACCAGATACTGACATATAGGTTTGCAATTGTACTTTAATTTGTTGGCAGATTAGATCCTTTATTATGGATGAAGTACAGTAGCTTGTATTTTATAGATCAGGGCTTCTTAAACTTTTTTTATTCACGACCCCATTTATGATTGTGATTTTTTTCGCAACCCAAAAAAATATAAAATAAAGATATATACAAATTTTCAAAAACAATAATGGTGTACACAGTTTGCTCTTGTGTTACAATGGAACAGAGACAATTGAATACACTGAAAAGCAACAACACTACACTAGTTCACACTACAATGAATGTTGCTGAACCATCGTCTCGCTGCACCAGAAGTGACACAAAGCGCAACTCACGAAACCTATGACATAAAGCGTGCCATTTTCAAACTCTCACAAATTATTTTCAATATTTTGCATTAAAATCTCGCAACCCCAAATGGGGTCACGACCCATAGTTTAAGAAGCCCTGATCTAGAACAAAGTCAGTATTACACTGGCAACAGGAGCTCAGATCATTTTTTGACATTAGTATTACAGTTGAAAATGACCAGATTAAGATGGCAGTCTATAGGAGCCAATTGCTATTCCATTGTACAGTACATACATTTTCATTCTTGGGACCTGTTTAGATATAAAATTGCTGCTTTCCTGTCTTTAATTTGTCAAATCTGTATTTATTCATCCTCCAAGAAAGCCCTTAAGATGATTCAGTACCTTAAACATTCGGCCTGTTTTTTTTTACTCTCTCCTAAACAATTCACTAATTTGGAGAATATGTTCAAGAGCTATATAGCTATATGCAACTCACATGAAAGGAGCCTAAATCTGATCTAACACAGATCACAAAGTCAATACAAATTAAAGGTATTGATTCCACCAGGATGTTGCATAAGCAATTCTGATGACTATAATAAATATATATAGTCACTGTTTATATATATGGTCACTATACATATAGTCACTATTATATTTATATATATTTATACAAATCTATATTAGACAGATTCGTATAGTCACTATTCACTGTCAGTCTATGACTCAGTTAAAAATAAAACATACAGATGACCCAAAAATATGAAAAGTAGGAAGCACAAGATTCCAGTTGTCAATTGAGTGGCAGGAAGTTAAGTGGTATGTAAGCAGTGCTTTTCACATTTTTAAAACCAGTGGCTGTAGTCTTCTATGTGAGAAATTGTCAAACAATATTTGGTGACATCACAGATGACTCAACTCACCATTGTAAGTTGAAGTCAAACATCGACTAGTTTACAAATTCATTCAGTGAAGGGACAATTACGACTTTATAATGTTCTGAACTAAATTTCTTCTGAATGTACAAATGAAAACAGTGATCTGGATCTCTTGGTCGGGTTACGCTCATCCAGAAAAACAAAAAACTGGACTGACAGAATAAGTTCTCATTTATGACATGACATCTTTTTCTCTGTTTCATTTTTATTTTGTTTGTGAGTTTAATTCTACTGTACAATAAGTACTGTCAGACTATATTATTTTTTTATGCACTATATATTAATACAGTAGCCCCTTGTTATATCATGCTTGTTGGGAGACAAAGAAAAAGCATGATATAACCAAGTACTAAAAATTTTGGGCTTACACTAAACATGCTATGGAATTATACATGCCATGTAATCTATATATTCTATTCTTTCATCAGCAAAGTGTTTCTGATATAAATTAAGCTTAGTTTTGCAATGGTGAATTTTATTTGTGGTTATATTGTATTAATTGATGCTTACATACATAAAAATCGATACTATAAATGCCCATTTAGCATTATTGTTTCTTTAACAATAACATTTAAAGACAAATACTGTCAAAATAAAGACAAAATATCAGTTGAAATTTTATTATACAGTACTATATTTCACAATAAATTGCTATTAAAAATTNATTTAAATTAATTAAAATTATTTATAATTATTAATATTAATAAGAGATGGCGCCTAACGCTTACCTCTAGTACCAAATTGATTACGTAATTTATCTAATAAGTAGCATAAAACTAGCCCGATAGATTTTCGGCAGTCTGTTGGTTGTAGGTTTTGTTGATGTTATTTCATAAAAACACTCGAGCTTTTAATATCAAGCATATAACAAAAACTTAAAATAAACAAATGTTTTTAACCACTTTAAGTTGCATCTTCAGATTCAAAACAAATGTGAAACAAAAAACAAATGGAAACATACAGTGTGCTATAAAGCATTTATGAGGCATCAATCATCTAGAACAGGGCTTTTTAAACTTTTTTTTATTCAATTTATGACAATTTATTTCAAACGACCCCATTTATGATTGTGATTTTTTTCGCAACCCAAAAAAATATAAAATAAAGATATATACAAATTTTCAAAAACAATAATGGTGTACACAGTTTGCTCTTGTGTTACAATGGAACAGAGACAATTGAATACACTGAAAAGCAACAACACTACACTAGTTCACACTACAATCAATGTTGCTGAACCATCGTCTCGCTGCACCAGAAGTGACACAAAGTGCAACTCACGAAACCTATGACATAAAGCGTGCCATTTTCAAACTCTCACAAATTATTTTCAATATTTTGCATTAAAATCTTGCAACCCCAAATGGGGTCACGAACCATAGTTTAAGAAGCCCTGATCTAGAACAAAGTCAGTATTACACTGGCAACAGGAGCTCAGATCATTTTTTGACATTAGTATTACAGTTGAAAATGACCAGATTAAGATGGCAGTCTATAGGAGCCAATTGCTATTCCATTGTACAGTACATACATTTTCATTCTTGGGACCTGTTTAGATATAAAATTGCTGCTTTCCTGTCTTTAATTTGTCAAATCTGTATTTATTCATCCTCCAAGAAAGCCCTTAAGATGATTCAGTACCTTAAACATTCGGCCTGTTTTTTTTTACTCTCTCCTAAACAATTCACTAATTTGGAGAATATGTTCAAGAGCTATATAGCTATATGCAACTCACATGAAAGGAGCCTAAATCTGATCTAACACAGATCACAAAGTCAATACAAATTAAAGGTATTGATTCCACCAGGATGTTGCATAAGCAATTCTGATGACTATAATAAATATATATAGTCACTGTTTATATATATGGTCACTATACATATAGTCACTATTATATTTATATATATTTATACAAATCTATATTAGACAGATTCATATAGTCACTATTCACTGTCAGTCTATGACTCAGTTAAAAATAAAACAGACAGATGACCCAAAAATATGAAAAGTAGGAAGCACAAGATTCCAGTTGTCAATTGAGTGGCAGGAAGTTAAGTGGTATGTAAGCAGTTCTTTTCACATTTTTAAAACCAGTGGCTCTAGTCTTCTATGTGAGAAATTGTCAAACAATATTTGGTGACATCACAGATGACTCAACTCACCATTGTAAGTTGAAGTCAAACATCGACTAGTTTACAAATTCATTCAGTGAAGGGACAATTACGACTTTATAATGTTCTGAACTAAATTTCTTCTGAATGTACAAATGAAAACAGTGATCTGGATCTCTTGGTCGGGTTACGCTCATCCAGAAAAACAAAAAACTGGACTGACAGAATAAGTTCTCATTTATGACATGACATCTTTTTCTCTGTTTCATTTTTATTTTGTTTGTGAGTTTAATTCTACTGTACAATAAGTACTGTCAGACTATATTATTTTTTATGCACTATATATTAATACAGTAGCCCCTTGTTATATCATGCTTGTTGGGAGACAAAGAAAAAGCATGATATAACCAAGTACTAAAAATTTTGGGCTTACACTAAACATGCTATGGAATTATACATGCCATGTAATCTATATATTCTATTCTTTCATCAGCAAAGTGTTTCTGATATAAATTAAGCTTAGTTTTGCAATGGTGAATTTTATTTGTGGTTATATTGTATTAATTGATGCTTACATACATAAAAATCGATACTATAAATGCCCATTTAGCATTATTGTTTCTTTAACAATAACATTTAAAGACAAATACTGTCAAAATAAAGACAAAATATCAGTTGAAATTTTATTATACAGTACTATATTTCACAATAAATTGCTATTAAAAATTTGTGTAATTTATATTTTTCAATAAAAATTATATATATAGTAATTAAAAATTTAAAAAATAAATATTGAACATTATAATAGAACATCAAAATATAAAATTACAGAGTAAAAATTCACTAAAAAGCAAAATAAAGTTACTACTGTATAAAAATTTTAAAACTTTCTGTTCAGAAATAAAGAAATCTATTTCTTACACATTACACAGTGAAATCGAAATTTCACTTTTATATGAATTGGCCCAATACTGTCAATTTCTTAAGAGTAAAATGTACTCTGGAGCTGAGAAGAGTAAATACTGATTTAAAAAAATTCACAGTAAACTGCATGGTAGAGAAATGCCAATGAAATACTGCCCCAAAGATAAATAATTTTTAATCTAAAATTTTAATATTTTCTTAACAGTTAGAAAATCCTCATTTTAAGAACTATATAAAAGTAATGCATCAAATTAAATCAAATCTTCATGATCAAAATGTTTGTAAATTAAAAACTTTCTTGAAGATTTCCACCTTATAACTATTTATGTATAGAAATATATAAGAACTTTAATAAATAAATTAGTTATTTCTAATCTAATAAATAAAGTTTTACTTTATTAGCTATGAATATTGTCTAATATTAAATTTGTTTAACTGTTGCAAAATATTTATAAATATAAATCCAATTACTGAGCAAGCTGACGCCTCCATAATAAAAATGTTTCTTTTTCCAGAGTTAAAAGTTCTTCTTTCGACGTTTTTTCATTCCAGAATGGTCTAAAATATATTAAAAATAAACATTTACATACTTTGCAATATCTAAAAATTTTAAAATTAAATAAATATAATATAATTAACTTATGCTAACACAAACAATAAGACCTTGCTAGTCTAAACCCCAATCCAAAATTCCAGTTAATCCAAATAACAAAACAAATCTCTCTCTCTCTGAACAAAATATGTGACTATTGAGTGACTATATTATGCTTACTTCATATTTCCCAGAATAAATGGTGTGTCTAAATCCTCAAAATAAATTAAGAATTTGTTTTCTAGTCTGATAACAGACTAGAAAACAAAGGTTCTTGTTTCTTTCATCCTATATGGTCATACATTTACTCATGAAAAGAGATTAAAAACCTCCACATTTGTGAACCAAGTTTATCAGTTCTCAAAAAGCTGACTGGTGTAAGTCATCTTGATGTAATACAACATGTCCATCCTGATACAGTACATTGAGAAATCCATATTAACATAAAAAGTACATTGGGAAAAAGAATTTCAGACAATCTAAAATACTCATTAATCTGAACATGTTTGAATACCAATTACAGGTAACCCCATATAACATGGGAGTTATGTTCCAAAAAATTGCCGTGTATGTGAATCCGTGTTATACAAAACAAAGAACTAGTACGAAAAGGTGGGGTTAGGTTCCAAAAATTAAAAAAACATGCTATTATATTTTCATAATTCAGATAAATATCTTTATTAAAATTTTCTTAATTGATACATATTAATATAAATTAAACAATGTTTTCTTCGTCATCACTAAGCACTATTAACCAAGGACGTTTTGTTTTTGGCAAGATATCCTTATCCTCTGAGCATTTTTCTGCATTATCTTCAGATCCATGCTCTCTCTACCTTTTGCAAAAAATATATTATTTTAGATTGCTTGCTTTTAGTTAAAAGATCTTTATAAATTTCCTTATATTGTGTTAAGCACTTATGAAGAATACAGCAAGTATGGAATAAGGGAAAAACATCTGGCAACACCAAAATCAGAAGCATTAAGATCTGGCAATACTGAAACACGTTTCGAGATGGACCACGTGTATCAACAGAAGGCCGGAAAAGAAAATTTACATACTTAAGTACTAATAGTTCACGAAAATAATAATTTTCGTGAACTATTAGTACTTAAGTANTCATGAAAAGAGATTAAAAACCTCCACATTTGTGAACCAAGTTTATCAGTTCTCAAAAAGCTGACTGGTGTAAGTCATCTTGATGTAATACAACATGTCCATCCTGATACAGTACATTGAGAAATCCATATTAACATAAAAAGTACATTGGGAAAAAGAATTTCAGACAATCTAAAATACTCATTAATCTGAACATGTTTGAATACCAATTACAGGTAACCCCATATAACATGGGAGTTATGTTCCAAAAAATTGCCGTGTATGTGAATCCGTGTTATACAAAACAAAGAACTAGTACGAAAAGGTGGGGTTAGGTTCCAAAAATTAAAAAAACATGCTATTATATTTTCATAATTCAGATAAATATCTTTATTAAAATTTTCTTAATTGATACATATTAATATAAATTAAACAATGTTTTCTTCGTCATCACTAAGCACTATTAACCAAGGACGTTTTGTTTTTGGCAAGATATCCTTATCCTCTGAGCATTTTTCTGCATTATCTTCAGATCCATGCTCTCTCTACCTTTTGCAAAAAATATATTATTTTAGATTGCTTGCTTTTAGTTAAAAGATCTTTATAAATTTTCTTATATTGTGTTAAGCACTTATGAAGAATACAGCAAGTATGGAATAAGGGAAAAACATCTGGCAACACCAAAATCAGAAGCGTCAAGATCTGGCAATACTGAAACACATTTCGAGACGGACCACGTGTATCGACAGAAGGCCGGAAAAGAAAATTTACATACTTAAGTACTAATAGTTCACGAAAATAATAATTTTCGTCAACTATTAGTACTTAAGTACGCGAAAATTTATTACATTCCATGTTGTACGAGAGTTTTACCCAATTCTCAAACCATGTCAGAATGAATCCATGCTATAGAAGTGCCGTGTTATACAGGGATTACCCTGTAGTTCAGATTAGTGAAATTCTACTGCATGCTATCACAAATAAGTGACTGATTCTTCATTGCACCATATAAATTAATTTCTAAAATATAATCATGCAGATTAAGTTAGGGAATAAGCATTATTTTTATTATTCTGTAAATCAACTTCCCATTATTTGTTTTTTTGGCCTAAGATTTGACACAAAAAAAGTCAAATGAACAAACATGCATCAATTTTAAAAAATCTAATCAGTAAATCTGTCCATTAGAATTATAACTGAAGTTATATTTTAAATATTAGTTTCCTTATTTTTAACTGGGATATACAGAAGCCAGCATATTTTCCATACTTCTTTTATTAACATAAATGTCAGCTTATCCTGTATAAGTCAACATTCAGTAAACTAGCAATAAAAAACAATTTAATTACAAACATTTTTAGTCATATTTAAAGACCATCTTAAGATAAAATAATGTTTAAATGCAAATGGTCTTTAAATGTGACCAAAAATGTTTGTAATTAAATAGTTTTATGCTGCTTACAAAGAATTACTAACTTTTATAACATGTCTAACATCCACAGTTGCATTTTCTATTTCTTACATTATGACTATGCCAGTCGAAACATATCATAACATTGTTTTGAAGATTTGCAAGAACAACATAAGTATTACATTTTTCACTTTGTTCAATTTTGTATTTTACCTGAAGATAGTCTTTAAATATGACTAAAAACATTCATAATTAAATTGCTTTTATTACTTACAAAGGCTTCTTGAGTGTCTGAAACTACCAATAGGCTAAAACTAAAATGTAAATATAAATGGCAATCATGGCAAAAGTGTGTAATAAGTTCTTACCACTTTCATCAAGACATTAACTGTAATACTAATATACTTGTATAACAAATACTGAAACTTAGGAATTATGTTATTATTTATAAAATTATTAACATCTTAAATTATAAAAAACTTAGAACTTCCTGCTTGAACAATATATCTAGATAAAGCATAAGGTTTTGATTCATTGTCATCTGCAACATTGCTAAATATTTTAAAAATGGAGTTTGATATAATCTTCAATTTTATTATAATTGAATAATTATTTTCTGTCTCATATATACAGAATAGAACTTGGTAATTTTAAATTTGAATGTTTTTCCTTTCATTGGCATACAACAAAGGTTTAATCTCTGTTCACTGTTATTTATTGCTTATATTAATCAAACTTTACAAATTTCAAAGTCCTATGTCAATGTACTATGTGCATATTATATGAGAATCTCTTGTGGTAATTCAGTTTTGCTTTAGTGAAATAGCAACAAATTTAATCCAAAAATGAATAAAGATAAGATAAAAGGTATGAGCTTCAGATATTCTAGATATGTTCATCTGCCAACTTTTTATATTAATAACCAGAATGTAGCATATTCAGAAGGTATAAGTTTGTTTTGTGGAAATGCTATAAGAGTTTTTCTTCCAGAACTGTCTCAAGGGCAATTTTTTCTATATTTCAAACATACATTGGTATACATTTATTTATGGGATTAGATCTAAGTATAAGGAAAAACTCCCAACAGTATAGTGTTTTAGTATTTCAAAGTGTTTGATGATGGTGATGATGATAATCCAATCAGATTTATAGCCATTGTCAATAACTAACTTTGCCAGTTTTGTGTCATTTCAAAGCTATATCATGGAGTATGGAGCTGTATATTTCTTATGTTCCTTAACTTTAATTTCTAACTGGCAAGATTTAACAACAATAAATATAGTAAGCATATTGCAAGATGGAAAAAACTCTATACTACTGGGAGCCTATCCCTCTTTCATTACTATTTTCTAGTTTGGAGCATTACTCCACAATCACAACTCAACAGAATAAATAATGAACTTACAAAAACACTTATTTACTAATTAACAAATTTGGCAACCTTCCACATATTGATATTACTAACAACAGAGAATTACTTGAATGCTATTTGAGCTGCAATTTGGAAAAATTTTAGACCTATAAATTCCCACTGTCACTGTTGTCTGTTCTTCCTTAATCTTGAGAACGGAGTTAGATAGATGAAAGCTGAGAGCAGATATGTAAAGCTTAGGAGCACAAGTCCCCAATGAACTATATAAGAACTTCTGATGCAAAGTGGAAGTCACGTTATTTCAATTAAAAAATTTTTCCCTGAAAAAAGTTAATGACTGGCATGACTCTATTGCTAACAGAAAAAGTATGGTATACAGGGGCAATACACTATTAACTTGAAGTAAAANAAACTGCAGTCTGCAGTCTCTTCAGAGTCCAGAAAGTTCTCAGGAAATACATCAGAAATGTTACGTGGCTGAAGTAAGTGATGTTTCAAGGGAATCACATGACTGAGTGATGTGAAGGTATGGTCACACAACACAGTTTGTACATGTCTGTCATCCAATGTGATACGCCACAAAAGGAACAAGCTTAAGCAATGGCAATCCAAATGGTGCCTATGATTTTTGTTTATAGCATTTTTATATGAATTAGTGAAAAAAATTCTGTTTTGCAAATATCTATAAACTATGTCTCTTTTCAAAAAAAAATTGAGTGTGGAGCTATGTAGCTTCAATAGTACAACCTCATTATGTTGTTTACTTATATTGTATTTCAATAAATGGGTATTTCATTTCAGAGCCGGCCCTACCATAGGGCGAACGGAGCAGCCGCTCCAGGCGCTAACTCCTAGGGGGTGCCTCAGAGGTAAAGAAAATTAAAGGGTATAAATTAGGGGCAACCAAGGGGGTGCCATAATAGGATCTTGCTCCATCCTAAAACTTGCCTCGAGCCGGCACTGTTTCATTTGTTATACAGGGTATGTGTAATTACATGCCTTCAAGCATTTCTTATTTCAGTGGTAAAATAAATAAATAGACTATTTTTGAAAATTGCCTTCAAAATGCAATGAATTTATGAAAATAACACCAACAGAGACCCAATATTAAGTAAATATAGACCCACAACTGCCATAAATGATCAGGCTATAATTTGGATATGATTGTAGATTAGAAATGAATTTTGACACTAGAGGGAGGCATTAAGCACCATCTCATATTAAAATTAATAATTATAATTTTTAATTAAATAATTTACATTAAACTGGAAGAAAAGAATCAGCACAAAACAGGACTTGAACCCACAACTCCCACTTACTGTGTGGACGCATTGCTAGTTACGTTACCCGGACCTCCGGTCCAATCTCCTCTTCCAGTATATATAATATCTAGTGTCAAAATTCATTTCTAATCTACAATCATCATATCCAAATTATAGCCCGATCATTAAAAGCAGTTGTGGGTGTATAAGTGAATCGGTTAATGTTCAGGGTCGTAGACTGTCATGGCGGCTCTTCCTGTTTTAGCCTCAAAACTGGACCGCTTTGGAGACGATGTGTCACGTGACGACGCGAGCGAACGGCGGCGGCTGCTGCGCCGCGATAAACGGGGAAAACCGATGCGCAGGTTAACGTCCATATACGTAGACTCATGGCGGCTCATCTCTGATTCTGCAAAAAGAAAAGAAAACAGTGGGGACGCACGTTCTAACCTAACCTAACCTAACCTATTCTAATAATTTAATCGGTAATAATTGTGGTAATTTATTAGAATAGGTTAGGTTAGGTTAGGTTAGAACGTGCATCCCCACTGTTTTCTTTTTTTTTCTTGGTTAAAGTCCAGACACGTGGATTGCCATGGTGGCTCACCTCTGATTCCAGCAAAGAAAAGAAAAGGAAACAGTGGGGACTCACGTTCTAACCTAACCTAACCTATTCTGATAAATTATCATAATTATTACCAATTATATTATTAGAANTCATTTGTTATACAGGGTATGTGTAATCACATGCCTTCAAGCATTTCTTATTTCAGTGGTAAAATAAATAAATAGACTATTTTTGAAAATTGCCTTCAAAATGCAATGAATTTATGAAAATAACACCAACAGAGACCCAATATTAAGTAAATATAGACCCACAACTGCCATAAATGATCAGGCTATAATTTGGATATGATTGTAGATTAGAAATGAATTTTGACACTAGAGGGAGGCATTAAGCACCATCTCATATTAAAATTAATAATTATAATTTTTAATTAAATAATTTACATTAAACTGGAAGAAAAGAATCAGCACAAAACAGGACTTGAACCCACAACTCCCGCTTACTGTGTGGACGCGTTGCTAGTTACGTTACCCGGACCTCCGGTCCAATCTCCTCTTCCAGTATATATAATATCTAGTGTCAAAATTCATTTCTAATCTACAATCATCATATCAAAATTATAGCCCGATCATTTAAAGCAGTTGTGGGTGTATAAATGAATCTATGATAAATGTAAAAGTATTTTTATAACAAATAATGAAAATCATCACCTGCTGTAAATTCAGTTCCGGCAAGTTCAGCAGTGGCCAAAAATTCTTCCAAGCTACTCTCTTCAGTAACACTTTTTAAATTGAGTTTAGCCCAATCATATCCATCTTGTAAATCTGTTGTATGCAGCTAAAAGTAAACAAAAAAATATCGTTTATTTAAGAATAAAAATATAAAAGTCATATTCTTTATTTTCAATTAGTATTGAACAAATATAAATTCACACAGTAACCTTTAACCTAAGAAAATTGTAATAGCAAACGTTATGCCTATGTCAGTAAATGTCGTACCAAGATTTAGTGCAACAAAGTGGTATGAAAATAAGGGTAATTGTTTATAAGCCATATACCAATGTTGGTTGAAGTTTAAGCCCAACGTTTTTTCTCTTAATTTTATTTACAATAAATGTAATATCGATTGTAGATTGCACAATTACAATAATGGAGGGTAGATATTCTCGAGCGAAATATTACTCACCTGGCTTTTATTCTTACGATTCGCTGTTTTAAGTCTTTTATCTCTGATTAAACTTTTTCCCAAAGATTCTGTTTTCTTGCCTTTCGCCATGCTTCGTTTTCATACGCAACAATATTACAACAGTGTTGCCAATCCTAGTTTAGACATTTAATGTTTAAATAAATTAAAGCTCAAATCCTGTTCAAAAAAAGCATTAAAATTATTAACATAATAATACTTTATTTTTTATTACGGAAAATAAAAATTGTGACTCTCGTCAGACATCTGGAGTAGTCGACAATAATTCGAAATATAAATACAGTTATTAACAGAAACGAAATTTCTCAAAATAACAATATTTCAAATTTACATCACCGATAAAGATATATTTATAAATATACGTTTACGGCAAAATGTTCTAAAAGATTTGATTCCTTTTTGAAGTATTAGCGACAGTGGCAAGCGGTGGGGACAAACGCTCAGCGTAAAGTTGTAAAAACCTATTCAATTAAAAGCGATAACGTTTCCGGCTATGCAAAAAATTTTAATCTTGCTACTACGACCACATTCACACGAACCGAGTGTTTGCATAGAGAGTAAAAGCGGCCTAATATATCAGCCAATTAGATGAACTGTCACCATTTTAGTATAGTTACTAGGGTGTATTCTTTTATTCCTTCCCGTGTGGCATCCGTGTAAAAATTCCTGCGGAACGCGTTTCTCTATTCCTACGGGAGTGTGCGTCGTCAGCCAGCAAAAACGGCTGCTTGTAATAGCAGAGTCGATAGCAGTGACATTTGATGATGGGAAAGATGTGCCGGCCCTGGATAAAATCATTGGAAGGGTTATACGATATTTTGGTGTGTAGCATCCACCAGCTAAACCGCGAGCTTGGTACTCTGTAAAACGCATGCTCGAAAGCCTATAAAATCTGACTGCTCTATACAATTCACATATTTTCGCCGTGAAAGCTATCCCGTATTCGATGATACGGGGCTTCCATTGGGAATATGTATATGCAACTAATATTCGAATATACAATAGCAATCTTATCATTTTTTTCACATGTAGTATAACAATTTGTAATAAGATACATAATGCAAATATAATAAAATATTAATTTTAATTAATTCGCAGTACGTTAAAATATGAAAATAACCGCAAAATATGCATTTATATTTTAAAAAATAGAAGAAAAGCGGTGCTTATACAGCTTCCATGGATGGCACACAACTGCATCATAGACCTACTAAATACAATATTTTTTTTGTTTTTAGCAGGGCTATGGAGTCGGAGTCGTGGAGTTTTGGTGTTTTAGCCGGAGTCGGAGTCGTCAAAAAAAAATCCTCTGACTCCGACTCCTTTTTACTTCCTAACTTGTTATGTATATGAAACGGAAAAGTATTGGAATCGCGTCAAATTTGACCCTACAATTTTTTTTTTTTTTTTTGCAAATCTACACGTTTGGAGACCTCCCGAACCCCTCAATAAAGTCAATAAAGGGGAAAAATTCACGCGAGTATGTGTTGGCGTCTAATTTGTTTAATTTCTTTATTTTCTGTTCCGAGATATTAAACAATGGGTAAAGTTTAAGAAACGAAATGTGGCACTGTAGCCTGCGTATAAAGGTGCATTAATATTATTAAATTTTGGTTCTTAATTAAAGATCGATAGGATGAAGACATAAAAGTGGTCATGTGTCATATCTCTTAATGAATATTTTACTCGTTATTAGCGTTCAAAATTTAAAAAACTAANCACTATTAACCAAGGACGTTTTGTTTTTGGCAAGATATCCTTATCCTCTGAGCATTTTTCTGCATTATCTTCAGATCCATGCTCTCTCTACCTTTTGCAAAAAATATATTATTTTAGATTGCTTGCTTTTAGTTAAAAGATCTTTATAAATTTTCTTATATTGTGTTAAGCACTTATGAAGAATACAGCAAGTATGGAATAAGGGAAAAACATCTGGCAACACCAAAATCAGAAGCGTCAAGATCTGGCAATACTGAAACACATTTCGAGACGGACCACGTGTATCGACAGAAGGCCGGAAAAGAAAATTTACATACTTAAGTACTAATAGTTCACGAAAATAATAATTTTCGTCAACTATTAGTACTTAAGTACGCGAAAATTTATTACATTCCATGTTGTACGAGAGTTTTACCCAATTCTCAAACCATGTCAGAATGAATCCATGCTATAGAAGTGCCGTGTTATACAGGGATTACCCTGTAGTTCAGATTAGTGAAATTCTACTGCATGCTATCACAAATAAGTGACTGATTCTTCATTGCACCATATAATTTCTAAAATATAATAATGCAGATTAAGTTAGGGAATAAGCATTATTTTTATTATTCTGTAAATCAACTTCCCATTATTTGTTTTTTTGGCCTAAGATTTGACACAAAAAAAGTCAAATGAACAAACATGCATCAATTTTAAAAAATCTAATCAGTAAATCTGTCCATTAGAATTATAACTGAAGTTATATTTTAAATATTAGTTTCCTTATTTTTAACTGGGATATACAGAAGCCAGCATATTTTCCATACTTCTTTTATTAACATAAATGTCAGCTTATCCTGTATAAGTCAACATTCAGTAAACTAGCAATAAAAAACAATTTAATTACAAACATTTTTAGTCATATTTAAAGACCATCTTAAGATAAAATAATGTTTAAATGCAAATGGTCTTTAAATGTGACCAAAAATGTTTGTAATTAAATAGTTTTATGCTGCTTACAAAGAATTACTAACTTTTATAACATGTCTAACATCCACAGTTGCATTTTCTATTTCTTACATTATGACTATGCCAGTCGAAACATATCATAACATTNTTTAAGCACCTAAATTTTTTATATTCTATTTAAAATATAATAATCTTAATTTTTTAAATTTTAAAATAAAAATTAGATAAAACTTTGTGTTATAATTAAATCTCTGAAATACTTAGTTGCTGAGCAAAAGTTTATTTTAAATTACAGAATAGAGTATAATTAGTCTTTAAAAGTATAGTAACTTAAATCTTTCCAACGATTTTTAATGTCCGATATACTGTATAATTTAAAAATTCGGTTTGTACAAATTATACAATTCTGTCGATTGACATAACAGAAATTACTTGTGGAAATTAATTAATTGTAATAGAATTTCTCTACGTTTATAGTATAGTTGTGCAAATTTCGGTTAATGTTTAGGGTCATAGACTGTCATGGCGGCTCTTCCTGTTTTAGCCTCGAAACCAGACCGCTTTGGAGACGACGTGTCACGTGACGACGCGAGCGAACAGCTGCGGCTGCTGCGCCGCGATAAACAGGGAAAACCGACGCGCGGGTTAACGTCCATATACGTAGAATCATGGCGACTCATCTCTGATTCCGCAAAAAGAAAAGGAAACAGTGGGGACGCACGTTCTAACCTAACCTATTCTAATAATTTAATCGGTAATAATTGTGGTAATTTATTAGAATAGGTTAGGTTAGGTTAGGTTAGAACGTGCGTCCCCACTGTTTCCTTTCGTTTGCTGGAATCAGCGGTGAGCCGCCGCCGTTCGCTCGCGTCGTCTCCAAAGCGGTCCGGTTTCGAGGCTAAAACAAGAAGAGCCGCCATGACAGTCTACGACCCTAAACATTAACCCAAATTTCATATGGTATAAATGTGTATTTAAACCATAGCGGGGAATAACAATATAAAGGGTGAAAATTATCTCCAAAAATAAGTGGAAAGACCCCATTCGTCTACTTTGTGACGAAACCCATTTGCCACTAATTGTTGATATTCGGCTTAACAATGTTCAAAAATACCTAAATTAAAGTTCGTGGTTTGAACTTACCAATCAAATCGCTGCAAATGATGTAAAACTTAGGAAAACGCTTAAAGTCAATCACTTTTAATCGCACGAACCGAAAATTCAACTGTTCGCCACAATAATAATCGACCTACTCGCAACAAATTGTCAGTTTTTTTATTGTTGCGTCACCATGAAATTTGATGTAAAGCGTTTGGATTTTTCACCGAATTTCGTGATATTTCCGCCTCTCTGTCGCTGAAGAGACGGATTATCGCGGATCGTTCCTTGAATATACATTCACTTTAACAATATTATGTATTGAAAAATCTAATATTCTCGTGTTTCGTGTCCGTGTAAAGATGAATAAAAATTTCGATATTACAATGATCCTTCGAACCGAAAAAAGAATAGACTTCAAGTATAGTGACCTCCTCTTATCCACCTCGAGTGACACACTATTAAAAAACCTATTAATAAAATTGAAATTTTGTTAAATTAAAATGTCCGAACTTTATAGATAAAAGTTTATACATAATAAGGACTAGAGTGCGAGTTACGCTCTGAAATATACGAGAGTTAATCTATTGAGTGAATAAACATTCCTGTTGAGAATGATTTATTACAATGTTAAATAGGCCCTTACATGTACAGAAACTGCCATCAAGCATTCATAGCTCAATCGTTTTCAAATCATTACCGTTTTATCTTAAATAACGCGAGCATATTTTAATTTATCCGCATCAACTTAGTACTGTAGTGTCTTGCCCCTATAACTGCTTTCAGGGGAAAAGTTTTTGAATTGAAATAAAATGACTTCAGGTTTGCATTGGAAGTTCGTATGTAGTTATTTGGAGCGCCCTGCCTAAGGTTTCAATATCTGATATCGTCTGTCATCTAACTCCGTTCTCAAGATTAAGGAAAGACAGACAGACGGACAAGTGGGAATTTATAAGTCTACAATTTTTTTCAAATTGCAATCCAATAAAGGACAAATATGCAGTGGTATATTTTACTTCCAACGATTCTAATTTCGAACGTTCCAGAGTGAGAGATGGGTAGTCCAGTCGAAACCGCTTCGAACTCGAAACTACTAGAAAACTATATTAAAAGTTTGGTTATTTTATCCTACTGTTGTTATGTTCACAAAGGGTCAAAGAGATCAAATTGGGAGGAGAATGGGGCATTCAGATTTCATGGAAATCTATATTTTCCTCGAAATCCCAGAGAATAAGTATAAAAAATTTGGTACAGACCAGGAAAAAGGTTTAAGAGTTAATAAGAGGAATGAAATCAGGAGAGCCAAAGTGTCCAGGTTTAACGATAGTCTATATTTTCCTGGAAAGCCCCGAGAGTTCACGAGAATAAGCAAAACTTTGGTGATGATGATCAAAACACTAACAACAGAGAGACAAATAGTTTAACTGTGACATCATATGATGTGATTTCCCAGATTAGATGGCTGAGCAGTTAAGGTGGCATCCAATCATTCTGGGAACCTGGGGTTGAAAAACACCAGGAATTTTTTGGGCGTAGTCTGTTCCACATTATCAGGTTGTGCCCATTGTGAACTTAGCCGTAACTAAAATTGGCTTACTAAAAATGATCCAAGACACACTTAGTACCAGGTCAGGAAAAAAAAAAAAAAAGGCATTTTTCACTGTTAATTGAGAAGCACTATTTTTCATTATTTACCAGTTAAGCCAATCTAAATTGATAGTGTGCCTGAAGTAAGTAATGGCAATTTACACCACGGTGACTGTTAAATCATAATTTGCTGGACCATCAATTTATCCATATGCTATGTCTAGACTGTATGGTTCACATTACACACATTTGTCAAACACAGCATTCTCCTAGACTGTGGAATATTTAGATACTCATAAGTTACAAGCTGTCCAGCAACGTGAAGAGTCAATGGTGTAAATGTTTAAGAAAATGAATCTGAAGTACTTATCTTTGGTTTTGTTTATATTTTCCAAAATATTTATTTGGTTTTTCTACTGCAGAGGCATTCATTTTCTTTAATATTTAAAGTGCTCTGCATCCTCTTTCCACTCACCATTTTTCAAAAGCTCTTCTTTACAACAATGTTTCCAATTTGTTGCCAGATTGATTGTGCAAGTTTGGCGCACACATGTCACTGGTTGCTATATTGATGAAGTTCTTCAAACATTGTAAACCTATTGTCTGCTGCCATTCTTTAGTGAGAAAATTTTTGGTGGAAGTAGCAAAATACTGTATTTAAAGTACTTTTAGAACAAATTTTGAGTATCTCTATTTGCATATTGAGCTGTGCGCTAATATGGCTATTTATACGTATCAAACTAACGCAGATAAATCTGAATTTTTATAAAATGAACCCTTATTGTGTATTATCACAAAACAATTTGAAAAACAAATCTCAAGCATAAAATAAAAAAAAATAAATATGAGCTTACTTTTATTTGGCATTTTCCCCATTTATTGATATTGAACATTTTAAATGTTACAAAGGATAGGATGGACGGGAAAGCTCCAGCTTACACCAATTATTATTCTAGCTTTTTCTTCTCTGATAGAGCGTTAGCTTAGTAAAATGAACAAACAGGATTTTAAAATATATTGTGTTCATCTCTCTTTTCTCAGAACTGCAGCAACTTTTTACATCGGAATTACACAAAACAACAAAGCCCGTTTAGACAAGAAAATTTTTTGACAGGTTAAAACAATCAAATTTTAACAATTGCTAAGAGTTGTAACAAAAAACAATTACTTGATAAATTCTCCTTTTGTGTAAGTTTGGACCCTATTCTAGTAAAGAAAGATATTTGTAATCAAATCCGAGTTTTATTTGGCTTAAAAATTGTCTAAATTTCCTCGCTGTATATATATAAATGGTCTCGTGCAAACCTAAATTAAAACTTTTGATTAAATTTTTTTCCTACTCTGAATTTTTTGTTCTTGAATAAAGTAGTTTTGTTTTATCATTCTAATGTATATAAAAAAATTTATGAATTTTTTTTCTAATATTTTTTTTTTTTCGAAATCACAGTTGATCTAGTGAGCCAGTTCTCAACTATGGTGAAAAATTTGCATTGATTATGGTTTGACTAAAAATTTATGCTGATGGCATGCATTTTAGACGTTCATAAGCTGCCTTTTCCAGACTTTCTCTGTGCTTAGGATGTGCAATTTCAATGAGTGCATGGGCACGCTGACGAATATTCTTTCCAAACAGATAAGCTATACCATATTCGGTGACTGCATAATGAATGTGAGCTCTTGAAGTAACAACACCACCACCTATAAATACATTTAAGATTTCAGTTTTTGGTGAATTAAAACTATTATTTTTCACTTATTGATGTTTTTCAATTTACCTTGTTTCAAAAATGGCACAATTTTAGATTCACCCTTGTTTGTGGTCGAGGGCATAGCTAGAATGGCTTTACCTTTACCATCGAAAGCCATGGCAGCTCCTCTCAGAAAATCGACTTGACCTCCAACACCTAATATAAAACATTGAAATGTTTTATTAATAATTAATTCAGCACTTCAAACAACCTTTACAGCTCCAGTGGTATATGTTTACACCTTAGCAAAAGTTTTCAACCTCATCGAGGTCTTCATCAGGCTACTTTAACACATTTAGGTGTAAACAGATAACACTGGAGCTGTAAAGGTTGTTTGAAGTGCTGAATTGTAACTCCTCTACTGTTGGAAGATGTTTATTTCTTATTAATAATTAAATAACAGAATGATGCATTTTGAATAAGTAGTCATTACCTGAATAGATTCTAGTGCCGATAGAATCGGAAACCACTTGACCAGTAAGATCAATTTCGATGCAAGAATTAATAGCAGTTACTTTTGGATTTGATGCAATGATAACATTATCGTTAACATAATCTACTACTAACATAACTGTAATAAAATAATTACATTATATTATTATTTCAATGCAGAAACTTAAATTTAATACATATGCTCTTTACTAACCTATAAATGGATTATCATCCATAAAATCAAATAAGCGTCGACTACCAATCGTGAAGCTTCCTACAATTTTTCCCGGACAAATCTTCTTGTGATGATTGGTAATACAACCTAATTCTACTAAATCAACAACTCCATCACTAAACATTTCAGAATGAACACCTAAATCTTTATGGTTTCTCAAACTGGCAAGAACTGCATCCGGAATAGAACCAATACCTTTAAAAGAAAAATTAATACATTTTTAAATTCTTAAAAAAAGCAATAAATGAAATATTGATGTCTCCAGAAAATGATAAAATAATTTACAGCTAAATGATTCTCAGCTACAATTAATATTTAAGGAGTCAAACAGAATGTAATTAATTAATACTTTAAAATCTCAAATTTCATCTTTGAATTAACTTTTCAAAAAAAAAAAAAATTATGAATTCTCTAAGAGACATCAATTTTAAATAAAATGAGATAATAGTAACAACTAATTATTGCACTACTCGTCAAACTCCATAATTTAAAGTTAAATGGGAACGAATATCTTACTGTATTCGATTTTATATCGATGTTCTCTTCCATTTGTTTAGAACCGTGTTTTTGTGTGCTAAGCTGATACCTTAAAAGGCCATGGGCCTTTTAAGGTATCAGCTTTTCTGGCCCTAGTCTCAAGGACTTATTCTCACTGCTCTGGAACTTCTGATATCTACAGAGAACTGAAACATGTCAAACATATAGCATCAGCACACGGGTACCACCAGTCCTTAATAGACAGGCTAACTGCCAACCAGCAATCTACAATAACTACCACCAACGCGTGGGCTAATGATGCGCAGCACAACTGGGTAGTTTTATCTTACGAACCGTCCCTTCAACACATTTTTAGTAAAATCGCTAAGGAGTTGAATGTGCGCTTAACATATAAGAGAAAACAGAATATTTTCCGATTTTTATCTAATGCTAAGGACAAGTCCGATGATAAGAAAGCGCCAGGGGTGCACCGCATCCCTTTGAATGACGAACATTTCAATCGTAGGATAACATACATTGGATCTACATACAGATCCCTTGAGGCTAGAATACGGGACCACAAATATGATGTGTCCAAGTGGAAGTATAGTACTGCTCTAGCCCAGTATGCTACCGAACCCAGGGTTTCCCCATGTTGGGATGAGGCTACTCTTTTCCATAGGGCCTTCAACCGACACGACTTACGCTCATTGGAGGCTATTGAGATTTATATAGAAACCACGAAGGGAAACTGTATTAACTCCAAGTATATTCTGATTCCACAATCGTGGAAGCATTATTTACATTGCCACAAAACACAACAATAATTGTATGTGTAATTATTTTTCATCTTTCTGCTTGTAAAAGAAAACAATTTCCACATTGTTTACATTGCACTAATTTTTACAAAGCTATAATAATAATTTATGTATAGCTTTATTTAAAATAAAATTTTAAAATAATTATTTTTATGTTGTAAACATAACGATTTTTATATCGTACAGTACATCGTTTAAATATTTAAAACACAGCTGTATTCGATGGTTAGAAGTTTTTAAATGACAGAACTGTTTTCTTTTTTTGTGTTTTTCATCCTGAGGAGGGCCTCTAAAAAACAGCCAAAAACGTGAGCATTAAAATTTTATTCATTCAGTGCTGGAATTAGCATTTAGGTGTTAATTGTTGTGTTTAGTATATAGTTCCAGTTTACTTGTGCTAGTTCTTTGTCTGACTTGATTGATATATATATGTAGTAATTTAAGCTGAATTTTCTTTATACTTATATAAAGAACAACTAAAAGAACAGTGGCAATTTATTTAAAAGAGAAGGAAGGAGAAAGAAATCTTGAAATCTTCACAAAAATAAAAACATATTTTTATGTTAAATGTCTTAAAATTATTTAACTGTACTGAAACTTAATTTTATAATTACCCATTTGTAAAGTTGCTCCATCTTCTACTAGATTGTCGGCAATAAGTTTTCCAATAGCAAGCTCAACTTCTCCTAATTTTTCAGATTTCAATTCTGGTAATTCCACTTCGCCTTCAACGAGAGCATCAAAATGTGACACATGAACGATTCCATCACCAAAAGTTCGAGGCATACGAGGATTCACTTGACCTAATAATCATAAAGCTTTCAGTACATATTTTTATAACAATACAAAGTTTGAATTTTTAGTATAAAAATAGTCACTATAGTGATCTAATTTCACTAAGTAAAAAATAATTGGAAATTTAAAACAGAAGTAACACAAGGAATATGTTAAACACTCATTAAAAAAATTGGAACATTTTTTTCTCTTAATGAGTGATTAAACTATTTCATTAATTGGATAAAAATTTATTTTTGTTTATGCTGAAGAATAGTCGTCTATTCTCTTACTAAAATATGAAAATAACATTNACTATATATTAATATTTCGTCTGTTATTTTAGTAATTAAAACATTAATACTAATTTAATTGGTTTAAATTTGTATTTTAAATATTTACGCAGGAATTTTAAACGTTAGGTCAGTTATTTTATAGCCTAATAATAGTTAATTTATAGCCCAATAAATTTAATATCGATTGTTCTTTTAAATATTTTCGAAATTGCTTTCTTTGTTTATCGTTTTGAGAAAACTGAAGGTATTGTTCTGTTTGAGCTTCGAAAACGGGTCCTTATGGTGGAAGCACATGATTTTCTGTGCTATTTATACAGAAATATTTCTTTGTTTTACTCTTTCCGCCATGTCGGCATCAAAAGAGCCTTTTTTAGCAAACCCATTATGCGTTCGGCCAAGTCCACAATAGGGCGGAGCATTATTTTAATGTAATGACGATCGGTAATGCAATGACCGAAGCGTAAAGCATACACTTTGTAGTTCTCAGAGTCGAGATTCGAGACTTACAAAAGATTATTGGAAACTTCCACGCGTAATTCGATCGGTTTATTATTATTAATTAATGTTGCGAATGTCGTGCTCAGATGATAATGGTGCCGAGTGCTATGCCAGACTACAGTCAAGGCATAGCTACCCAAATAAGTGTAACATTAAGCTTCTGTGTTATTGGTATATGTGTCAATGTCTAGAAACTTCCTAGCAATGTGACATGTCTTCAATATTGCAACTTTCTGCAGTGCCATGTATATGTTTTTATTAAGATTTAATGTTTCTAGACTTTTGTGTAGTGTATGTAGTAAAATACCAGTAGAAGAGAGGATAACAGGTACTGTACAATAAATAGCTTATCCATATTCCACATCTGTCTTATTTCTTGAGCGGGTGGAGTGTACTTGTTGATTTTTCAGTGTGAGCATTTTTTTTATGTTATGAGTGCTTGGAAAGGATATGTGTATTATATAAGTGATCTTCCCGCATTTGTCAATGAGAGTGATGTCAGGTCTATTGTGATAAATTGTTTTATCTGTGATTATGGCTCTGTCGTAGTATATTTTATGTCATTTTCTAATACTGGCTGTGAAATATATTTGTAGTATGGTACCTGGATGATTTAATAATCTATGTTTGTGTGCAAGCTTTTGGTGTATTATATTTGCTATTTGATTGCTAATGTAAATAGACTATTTGTGTTGAGAGCTTGCAACCAAAGGTTATACGTTGTATTGTTTCTGGCATAATGTGGCATTTTCTGCAAGAGTCATATGTGAGTGATGAATCCTTAAGAATGTGTTTATGGCCTGATCTAGAACGGCGTCCACAAAATCTTTAGTCTCTCCAAACAAGTAGCACATAGTCAGCAAGTAGATCGACACAGTTTAGTCAATATAGTCCTGAGCTAGGTCATAGAAATGCCTTCCATAAAGTGTCTTTTGGGCCTATGACTGCTTAATGGTAAGGTGACCAACTTTTTTACAATGAAAAAGAGGACACTAATAAATTGAAGGAAAAAATATCGTAAATAAAAAACATTTTATTCATTGCAACAATAATACACTATAATAATCTCTGCTGCATGTCATATCATGTTTCGGTAAGAAGTAAACAAAGCCATTTGCGCTCTCTCTCTCTCTCTCAATGTCTCCCGTGCGAAGAGCATGCGTCTCATAATTGCATCTCGTTGCACTGTACAGCGCCTTGATGAATCGACATGTTAAATACAAACACGTCATATCACATCACACACAACGGATCGGTTCGGCATTGATCGAATACGGAGATTTACAGATTAGTCTTCAAATATCAAAAAGGAGGACACTTTTCGTGGGAGGACAGAACTTACAAAAGGAGGACTGTCCTCCCCAAAGGAGGACGATTGGTCACCTTATTAATGGTGTCTATGTTATTTATGTGTTGAACTACGTCCAGGTTCTCAGAGTGTATGAAAAAGTTATGGTTACTGTCTGCCAGTGTTATAGCTTTATATAATCTTGAGTTTTCTTTTTTTGTGAAAAAACTCGCAGTGCTAGAATTTGTTTGCAGTGTAGGTTAACTACTGTATATTAATAAGGCCACGGTTATCTTTACGAGGAAGAGTTAGTTTTTTCTTATTATTATTATTTTGTAATTTTTGTCCTGTTGATGATAACAAATAAGTGAGCCTTTTTCCGCGCTCATCATAATAAGTTCGACCGGCTCACAATGGGGTAACCGGATTATTGAGAGAAAAAGTCCGGCATTACAGACTTCTTATGAACAATTCCTAATGTTGCTTATCCGGATACAGTATATTCGACGGCCGGATGGCCAAGCGAATAAGTAGGCAGCCTACCGCTCTAGAGATCCCGTGATCGAATACGGACGGATCGAAAAAGCCCTCAAAATTTTTTAGGTGATAGTCAGTCCAGATAAGTTGGTCCTCGTCCCTCGTTACCCCGACCATTGTGGTCCTGACCGAATCCATAAGGGGCTTGCTAAAAGAGACCCTCTTAGTGCCCATAGGGCGAAGAGTTATGAACGATAATAATAAAAAGTTCCTAATATATTTTTCAGATTTGTGCTACACGATAATACTGATATAATCCGATCTGAATCTAATTTAAATAAAATCATATATATTCTATGATTGTTATTAATGTCAGAACACTAATTAAAATAAGAAATTGTCTTTTCGGTCTGGTATGATGAAATACAGCAACAGGACAAAGGGGCGATCTGGAAGAAATTCTTCGCTATAGGATTTTTTTATCCTTATTTAGGTGCATACTTAAATACTTGAAGAAAACCGGTAAAACTCGTGGCCAGCCTATTGGTTTTATCCACTCGGCCTCTATTGGAAGTCTTTTTGACTCCCAATAAAGGCAATTAAATTAATAAAATGAAAAAATTATACTGTATTCGACTGGTTGGATATTTTGTCATTAGTATGATGTCACAGTGCCCATTATTGCGATTGAAAATAGTGCTTAAAATTTTCATTGTTTTTTTATGACAAAGTCCTTTTCTTTTTCAATACGGAATTAATCTCTTTCGTTTCCAACTGAATAAAATCATTAAAAACCAAAATTATTACAGTTACTTTCTCCCAAAACAACTTTAATGATTATTTATTTCTGTATTTTTTGGTCTTTACTCGTCGAAGTTTCATAAAAAGTGTATTAAAAACATACTCTTTATTGAATTCTGTTATGCCGATGGTAGATGGTAACCTACAACACTTAGTTTTTGACTCTACGCCCTGTCGATACCAGGAGGATTTTTCCATGCTCGTCGTGGTCAGGACAGAAAAGAACTCCTCCATCACTGGCGGAGGCCAACATCATTTTACCGGGTTTAAAATTAATAAACAGAATTCGAGAAATGGGTGAAAAAGTCGAAAAGCGGCTTTTCCCCCCATCTCAAAGTATGATCGAGTATGGACGCTAAATTTACGAAGGAAATTTTTGTCATCCGATCTTTACTTTGATCTTTTATTGATGTCTAACGACAGACATCACACCGTTGTTGTTCTGTGTACTTTAATTTAGTCAAAGTGTAAAAAAAATCCTCGGACTGCGCCCAAGTGTCTGTCCGTAAATTGGAAAGGACAGAAACGAAGCCAGATGAAAGGCCGAGTCCAGTTCATTATATAGTCGTAGTCGGGTGAAAGGTCAACTTCGGGGGAAGATAAACTCGGCGGAGAAAAGATTTATTTCCTGCAGAAAAAGAAAAGCCTTCTTCCAACTCTTGACGGATTTTTTCAGGATTCCTTTCGACTCCTATCTCGCGCGACCGTCTCTCCACCGTCCATTCCGCCACTTCCGGGTATCGTCGTCCCAGGTACTCGACAAGAGACGAGGTGCTTTCCTTCGGAGATATGACAACATCCCATTTCTTGTCGGGTGTAGGCGACTTCCGCCCTCCGCTCTGCTCAACTTCTTTCGGAAGCACCCGAATTACTCGAATGGAAGTGGAAGAGGAGGTGGTCGAGGCACTTTTCTCCTGTTTAACATCTCCCGAAGTATGTCACTTTCTCAACTCTGAAATTGTCCATTCTGCAATGAAAAGCAAGCGACTATTGTAAAAATATTCCTATTGTCTTAATTCCTTCTACATTGTAAGTAATATATAAATTTTTTATATAAAATTAATTTGATAAGATTGTAGAAAATGATCACTTTTCTACAATCTTACAAAAAAGTCAATCACTTTTAATCGCACGTCAGAAATATTTAATTATTAAATATAGTAACTTAAATCTTTCCAACGATTTTTAATGTCCGATATACTGTATAATTTAAAAATTCGGTTTGTACAAATTATACAATTCTGTCGATTGACATAACAGAAATTACTTGTGGAAATTAATTAATTGTAATAGAATTTCTCTACGTTTATAGTATAGTTGTGCAAATTTCGGTTAATGTTTAGGGTCATAGACTGTCATGGCGGCTCTTCCTGTTTTAGCCTCGAAACCAGACCGCTTTGGAGACGACGTGTCACGTGACGACGCGAGCGAACAGCTGCGGCTGCTGCGCCGCGATAAACAGGGAAAACCGACGCGCGGGTTAACGTCCATATACGTAGAATCATGGCGACTCATCTCTGATTCCGCAAAAAGAAAAGGAAACAGTGGGGACGCACGTTCTAACCTAACCTAACCTATTCTGATAAATTATCATAATTATTACCAATTATATTATTAGAATAGGTTAGGTTAGGTTAGAACGTGCGTCCCCACTGTTTCCTTTCCTTTTTGCGGAATCAGAGATGAGCCGCCATGAGTCTACGTATATGGACGTTAACCCGCGCGTCGGTTTTCCCCGTTTATCGCGGCGCAGCAGCCGCCGCCGTTCGCTCGCGTCGTCACGTGACACGTCGTCTCCAAAGCGGTCCGGTTTCGAGGCTAAAACAAGAAGAGCCGCCATGACAGTCTACGACCCTAAACATTAACCCAAATTTCATATGGTATAAATGTGTATTTAAACCATAGCGGGGAATAACAATATAAAGGGTGAAAATTATCTCCAAAAATAAGTGGAAAGACCCCATTCGTCTACTTTGTGACGAAACCCATTTGCCACTAATTGTTGATATTCGGCTTAACAATGTTCAAAAATACCTAAATTAAAGTTCGTGGTTTGAACTTACCAATCAAATCGCTGCAAATGATGTAAAACTTAGGAAAACGCTTAAAGTCAATCACTTTTAATCGCACGAACCAAAAATTCAACTGTTCGCCACAATAATAATCGACCTACTCGCAACAAATTGTCAGTTTTTTTATTGTTGCGTCACCATGAAATTTGATGTAAAGCGTTTGGATTTTTCACCGAATTTCGTGATATTTCCGCCTCTCTGTCGCTGAAGAGACGGATTATCGCGGATCGTTCCTTGAATATACATTCACTTTAACAATATTATGTATTGAAAAATCTAATATTCTCGTGTTTCGTGTCCGTGTAAAGATGAATAAAAATTTCGATATTACAATGATCCTTCGAACCGAAAAAAGAATAGACTTCAAGTATAGTGACCTCCTCTTATCCACCTCGAGTGACACACTATTAAAAAACCTATTAATAAAATTGAAATTTTGTTAAATTAAAATGTCCGAACTTTATAGATAAAAGTTTATACATAATAAGGACTAGAGTGCGAGTTACGCCCTGAAATATACGAGAGTTAATCTATTGAGTGAATAAACATTCCTGTTGAGAATGATTTATTACAATGTTAAATAGGCCCTTACATGTACAGAAACTGCCATCAAGCATTCATAGCTCAATCGTTTTCAAATCATTACCGTTTTATCTTAAATAACGCGAGCATATTTTAATTTATCCGCATCAACTTAGTACTGTAGTGTCTTGCCCCTATAACTGCTTTCAGGGGAAAAGTTTTTGAATTGAAATAAAATGACTTCAGGTTTGCATTGGAAGTTCGTATGTAGTTATTTGGAGCGCCCTGCCTAAGGTTTCAATATCTGATATCGTCTGTCATCTAACTCCGTTCTCAAGATTAAGGAAAGACAGACAGACGGACAAGTGGGAATTTATAAGTCTACAATTTTTTTCAAATTGCAATCCAATAAAGGACAAATATGCAGTGGTATATTTTACTTCCAACGATTCTAATTTCGAACGTTCCAGAGTGAGAGATGGGTAGTCCAGTCGAAACCGCTTCGAACTCGAAACTACTAGAAAACTATATTAAAAGTTTGGTTATTTTATCCTACTGTTGTTATGTTCACAAAGGGTCAAAGAGATCAAATTGGGAGGAGAATGGGGCATTCAGATTTCATGGAAATCTATATTTTCCTCGAAATCCCAGAGAATAAGTATAAAAAATTTGGTACAGACCAGGAAAAAGGTTTAAGAGTTAATAAGAGGAATGAAATCAGGAGAGCCAAAGTGTCCAGGTTTAACGATAGTCTATATTTTCCTGGAAAGCCCCGAGAGTTCACGAGAATAAGCAAAACTTTGGTGATGATGATCAAAACACTAACAACAGAGAGACAAATAGTTTAACTGTGACATCATATGATGTGATTTCCCAGATTAGATGGCTGAGCAGTTAAGGTGGCATCCAATCATTCTGGGAACCTGGGGTTGAAAAACACCAGGAATTTTTTGGGCGTAGTCTGTTCCACATTATCAGGTTGTGCCCATTGTGAACTTAGCCGTAACTAAAATTGGCTTACTAAAAATGATCCAAGACACACTTAGTACCAGGTCAGGAAAAAAAAAAAAAAGGCATTTTTCACTGTTAATTGAGAAGCACTATTTTTCATTATTTACCAGTTAAGCCAATCTAAATTGATAGTGTGCCTGAAGTAAGTAATGGCAATTTACACCACGGTGACTGTTAAATCATAATTTGCTGGACCATCAATTTATCCATATGCTATGTCTAGACTGTATGGTTCACATTACACACATTTGTCAAACACAGCATTCTCCTAGACTGTGGAATATTTAGATACTCATAAGTTACAAGCTGTCCAGCAACGTGAAGAGTCAATGGTGTAAATGTTTAAGAAAATGAATCTGAAGTACTTATCTTTGGTTTTGTTTATATTTTCCAAAATATTTATTTGGTTTTTCTACTGCAGAGGCATTCATTTTCTTTAATATTTAAAGTGCTCTGCATCCTCTTTCCACTCACCATTTTTCAAAAGCTCTTCTTTACAACAATGTTTCCAATTTGTTGCCAGATTGATTGTGCAAGTTTGGCGCACACATGTCACTGGTTGCTATATTGATGAAGTTCTTCAAACATTGTAAACCTATTGTCTGCTGCCATTCTTTAGTGAGAAAATTTTTGGTGGAAGTAGCAAAATACTGTATTTAAAGTACTTTTAGAACAAATTTTGAGTATCTCTATTTGCATATTGAGCTGTGCGCTAATATGGCTATTTATACGTATCAAACTAACGCAGATAAATCTGAATTTTTATAAAATGAACCCTTATTGTGTATTATCACAAAACAATTTGAAAAACAAATCTCAAGCATAAAATAAAAAAAAATAAATATGAGCTTACTTTTATTTGGCATTTTCCCCATTTATTGATATTGAACATTTTAAATGTTACAAAGGATAGGATGGACGGGAAAGCTCCAGCTTACACCAATTATTATTCTAGCTTTTTCTTCTCTGATAGAGCGTTAGCTTAGTAAAATGAACAAACAGGATTTTAAAATATATTGTGTTCATCTCTCTTTTCTCAGAACTGCAGCAACTTTTTACATCGGAATTACACAAAACAACAAAGCCCGTTTAGACAAGAAAATTTTTTGACAGGTTAAAACAATCAAATTTTAACAATTGCTAAGAGTTGTAACAAAAAACAATTACTTGATAAATTCTCCTTTTGTGTAAGTTTGGACCCTATTCTAGTAAAGAAAGATATTTGTAATCAAATCCGAGTTTTATTTGGCTTAAAAATTGTCTAAATTTCCTCGCTGTATATATATAAATGGTCTCGTGCAAACCTAAATTAAAACTTTTGATTAAATTTTTTTCCTACTCTGAATTTTTTGTTCTTGAATAAAGTAGTTTTGTTTTATCATTCTAATGTATATAAAAAAATTTATGAATTTTTTTTCTAATATTTTTTTTTTTTCGAAATCACAGTTGATCTAGTGAGCCAGTTCTCAACTATGGTGAAAAATTTGCATTGATTATGGTTTGACTAAAAATTTATGCTGATGGCATGCATTTTAGACGTTCATAAGCTGCCTTTTCCAGACTTTCTCTGTGCTTAGGATGTGCAATTTCAATGAGTGCATGGGCACGCTGACGAATATTCTTTCCAAACAGATAAGCTATACCATATTCGGTGACTGCATAATGAATGTGAGCTCTTGAAGTAACAACACCACCACCTATAAATACATTTAAGATTTCAGTTTTTGGTGAATTAAAACTATTATTTTTCACTTATTGATGTTTTTCAATTTACCTTGTTTCAAAAATGGCACAATTTTAGATTCACCCTTGTTTGTGGTCGAGGGCATAGCTAGAATGGCTTTACCTTTACCATCGAAAGCCATGGCAGCTCCTCTCAGAAAATCGACTTGACCTCCAACACCTAATATAAAACATTGAAATGTTTTATTAATAATTAATTCAGCACTTCAAACAACCTTTACAGCTCCAGTGGTATATGTTTACACCTTAGCAAAAGTTTTCAACCTCATCGAGGTCTTCATCAGGCTACTTTAACACATTTAGGTGTAAACAGATAACACTGGAGCTGTAAAGGTTGTTTGAAGTGCTGAATTGTAACTCCTCTACTGTTGGAAGATGTTTATTTCTTATTAATAATTAAATAACAGAATGATGCATTTTGAATAAGTAGTCATTACCTGAATAGATTCTAGTGCCGATAGAATCGGAAACCACTTGACCAGTAAGATCAATTTCGATGCAAGAATTAATAGCAGTTACTTTTGGATTTGATGCAATGATAACATTATCGTTAACATAATCTACTACTAACATAACTGTAATAAAATAATTACATTATATTATTATTTCAATGCAGAAACTTAAATTTAATACATATGCTCTTTACTAACCTATAAATGGATTATCATCCATAAAATCAAATAAGCGTCGACTACCAATCGTGAAGCTTCCTACAATTTTTCCCGGACAAATCTTCTTGTGATGATTGGTAATACAACCTAATTCTACTAAATCAACAACTCCATCACTAAACATTTCAGAATGAACACCTAAATCTTTATGGTTTCTCAAACTGGCAAGAACTGCATCCGGAATAGAACCAATACCTTTAAAAGAAAAATTAATACATTTTTAAATTCTTAAAAAAAGCAATAAATGAAATATTGATGTCTCCAGAAAATGATAAAATAATTTACAGCTAAATGATTCTCAGCTACAATTAATATTTAAGGAGTCAAACAGAATGTAATTAATTAATACTTTAAAATCTCAAATTTCATCTTTGAATTAACTTTTCAAAAAAAAAAAAAAATTATGAATTCTCTAAGAGACATCAATTTTAAATAAAATGAGATAATAGTAACAACTAATTATTGCACTACTCGTCAAACTCCATAATTTAAAGTTAAATGGGAACGAATATCTTACTGTATTCGATTTTATATCGATGTTCTCTTCCATTTGTTTAGAACCGTGTTTTTGTGTGCTAAGCTGATACCTTAAAAGGCCATGGGCCTTTTAAGGTATCAGCTTTTCTGGCCCTAGTCTCAAGGACTTATTCTCACTGCTCTGGAACTTCTGATATCTACAGAGAACTGAAACATGTCAAACATATAGCATCAGCACACGGGTACCACCAGTCCTTAATAGACAGGCTAACTGCCAACCAGCAATCTACAATAACTACCACCAACGCGTGGGCTAATGATGCGCAGCACAACTGGGTAGTTTTATCTTACGAACCGTCCCTTCAACACATTTTTAGTAAAATCGCTAAGGAGTTGAATGTGCGCTTAACATATAAGAGAAAACAGAATATTTTCCGATTTTTATCTAATGCTAAGGACAAGTCCGATGATAAGAAAGCGCCAGGGGTGCACCGCATCCCTTTGAATGACGAACATTTCAATCGTAGGATAACATACATTAGATCTACATACAGATCCCTTGAGGCTAGAATACGGGACCACAAATATGATGTGTCCAAGTGGAAGTATAGTACTGCTCTAGCCCAGTATGCTACCGAACCCAGGGTTTCCCCATGTTGGGATGAGGCTACTCTTTTCCATAGGGCCTTCAACCGACACGACTTACGCTCATTGGAGGCTATTGAGATTTATATAGAAACCACGAAGGGAAACTGTATTAACTCCAAGTATATTCTGATTCCACAATCGTGGAAGCATTATTTACATTGCCACAAAACACAACAATAATTGTATGTGTAATTATTTTTCATCTTTCTGCTTGTAAAAGAAAACAATTTCCACATTGTTTACATTGCACTAATTTTTACAAAGCTATAATAATAATTTATGTATAGCTTTATTTTAAAATAATTATTTTTATGTTGTAAACATAACGATTTTTATATCGTACAGTACATCGTTTAAATATTTAAAACACAGCTGTATTCGATGGTTAGAAGTTTTTAAATGACAGAACTGTTTTCTTTTTTTGTGTTTTTCATCCTGAGGAGGGCCTCTAAAAAACAGCCAAAAACGTGAGCATTAAAATTTTATTCATTCAGTGCTGGAATTAGCATTTAGGTGTTAATTGTTGTGTTTAGTATATAGTTCCAGTTTACTTGTGCTAGTTCTTTGTCTGACTTGATTGATATATATATGTAGTAATTTAAGCTGAATTTTCTTTATACTTATATAAAGAACAACTAAAAGAACAGTGGCAATTTATTTAAAAGAGAAGGAAGGAGAAAGAAATCTTGAAATCTTCACAAAAATAAAAACATATTTTTATGTTAAATGTCTTAAAATTATTTAACTGTACTGAAACTTAATTTTATAATTACCCATTTGTAAAGTTGCTCCATCTTCTACTAGATTGTCGGCAATAAGTTTTCCAATAGCAAGCTCAACTTCTCCTAATTTTTCAGATTTCAATTCTGGTAATTCCACTTCGCCTTCAACGAGAGCATCAAAATGTGACACATGAACGATTCCATCACCAAAAGTTCGAGGCATACGAGGATTCACTTGACCTAATAATCATAAAGCTTTCAGTACATATTTTTATAACAATATAAAGTTTGAATTTTTAGTATAAAAATAGTCACTATAGTGATCTAATTTCACTAAGTAAAAAATAATTGGAAATTTAAAACAGAAGTAACACAAGGAATATGTTAAACACTCATTAAAAAAATTGGAACATTTTTTTCTCTTAATGAGTGATTAAACTATTTCATTAATTGGATAAAAATTTATTTTTGTTTATGCTGAAGAATAGTCGTCTATTCTCTTACTAAAATATGAAAATAACATTTTAATATAGAGGGTGGCCCAAAACTCAATCAATCAAGGTATATTTTCAGCTTATTTTAATAGCTTAAGACCAGTCTTAGACATTTTAACACTAACTTTAAAAAATCCAGCCACAAGGTGCTTAAATTTTCTGGTAACATCTCTTATGCTATTTTATTAAAAAACTTTTTATATAAACCTGTAAATGCTAATAACAAGTAAAATCGTCATTAAGTCTTACCCTCCTCGAGATATGACAAACAACTCCCCTTTAATTCCCCATCTCTTCGTCCTTTAACAACCAAAATTTAATACTATCAATCTCCCTAATAAGCAAACTTCTCTGCAAAATTTCAGAAATTTTCGACAAAAAGAACAGGAGTTATTAAGCTTCAAACAGGGTGAACAAAATTGTGCCATCCATCCACACTAACATCCATATATACATTAAAAATCTCCCATATTTTTTTTGCATTTTTCAACATTTAAAGGTCCAGAGTCCAAAAACATAAACATCTTGGGGAGATCATTTTTTGATGGATCACAATACTTTCCCTCTGTTACATATAACAGCCAGAAAAGTAAAAAGTATATCTTGGTCAACTGACTTTTGGGCCACTATCTACAACATTTTATAATGTCATATTACTTAAATAAATACAACCCTGACAAAAACACCTCAGATAGCATGTAATTTTAATCAATCTCTAGCTTATCCTTCAATAATATCAAACAGAAAAATTTTGTACACTTGTAATTATTTTATATTAGTAAACTTTTAAGTGTACAAAAATTTTCTGTTGAATATTATAGAAGGATAAGCTAGAAATGGGTTAAAATAACATGTTGTCAAAGGCTATTTTTTTTTGTGGGGTTGTATATTGTTTGATGTTGATTTGGACAATATTCAAATTTATTTATGCCATACAATAAATTTTTTACAAAGTAGTAATTTTTAAATACAAAGCCTTATACTTAATGAACACATCAAACATCTATGGCTGAAGGTGTTTGATGTGTTCATTAAGTGTTTAAAAAGGCTGAGTTTGATATTTGGTTAGTATTCAAGCCTTATAGTTAACAAAATTAACAATTAAAATTTCTAATTTAGTAAAAGGAATATAAGCAATTAAGTTATTTTAAGTATCTGATCTTTAAATAATAATAATATTTGGCAGTTAAAATTTTCTGGCTCACTTTCAAGATATATTTAGCTATAAAAATTCCTTCTGGACATATATAAGTATGTTTATGATAAAATATCCTTTGAAGCATATATGCAATAATATAAACCATTTTGAAGTATATAAAATAATGAAATATCAACTTTGAACAGAAAGTTCCATTATTAATTTGGATAAAATTAAAAATTTATTTGAACTTTGAATTTATTCTATTATCAATTTGCTCAAATTTTATTATTTCTCATTTACTAAATTCTTTACAATTGTTTCAATACAGAATAGTTTAGTAATAGTAAACTTTAATTTTTTGAATATTTTTAAATGAACTTTTTGTTGCATAAAAATGTTTAAACACAGATAAAACACCTAAACCAGCATATATAACCTCAAATTAGCACACTTATGAACATTTTTATGTTTATAACAGACATCTTCAGATATATATAATGCAGAACTAAACAGAAAAATTAAAATCAAATATGCTTTTATGAACAAATTACAAATTCCAGGAATTTGTAATTTGTTGTGACAAAAACAATTAATTAATGTATTATTACTATATAATGGTTTAATTAATAGTATATCATATGATTAAAAGTAACTATATATTTTAAAATTCAATATGTATTGATCAGTTAAAATCAAACTAATTCAAAAATGAACAGGATATATGCAAGGTCATTTACTGCCTGAGAAAATCAGACTTTTTCATCAGTTGGGCTTTGAATCAAATAATTAATTAGATAATTTATTTTATCTTAAAGATATTATTTATTAATTTCAACTTTATAATTGTAATATTTACATTTATAAAAATGCAATATTTATATAAAATCATTATTATTTGTATAAGTTCAAGCCAACATCTAGTTTTCAATCTTTTATTTAATCATGAAACAGAAGCATAATTATCACAAAAATTTTAATGACCACAATTCTATATAGGAACTGTCTTCAGTATTATTAAACTCAATTACAAATTACAGAAATGCTTTTATGATAGCAACCAAGCCTAATCTACAATGATTACCAAATCTGAAAACCATATTTTACTGGACTGTCTCTTGGTTAGACATTAATTTAGATAATAAATAATTTGGATAAAAGAGAGGCATTCAGACTGCCATCTGGTATTAACATTAAAACTTTGTTAATTTTTAGAGATATATTCAATAGTTTAGACATCTGTAAGAAAGATTTGACCCAGGGGAGCTCAAGCCTGAATCTTCTACATGCTGTGATGCATTACCAGTTATGCTAGCAAGATCTCTATCAAATCCTCACTTTCAGACTTATTAATTTAGACAATATAACCATACAGGTTAATTACTGTGCAAACAGAAGATGACTTGTTCCTGCCTTAATCCAATTTATTAAATATCTGAAATAAAGAGTAGCAAAAAGACAGTCCAATAAAATCTGACTTTGATGTATTTTAATAAAACTTCATTATAATTGTTATACAGTCGACTCCCCTATAACACTGCTGATAATTCCATTTTATATGAATTCCATGTTGTACGAGTCACTTAGATTTTACAAATACGTGAGCCGTTCACAGTACGACACACGTATTTGTAAAATCTAAGTGACTCGTACAACATGGAATTCATATAAAACGGAATTATCAGCAGTGTTATAGGGGGGGTCAACTGTACAGTTATTTATACTAAGATGATATTCTTCTTATAACGTAATGTTATGATAAAAATTGCATTTAAAACCTGTCAAATTTAAATAAGAAACATTTGTGGTAATTACAATTATCTTATCATATGTAAGAATAATTAATGATTACTCTAAAACTAGCTGTTACAATCATAACAGAAACAGCAAAATATATTCAATGTGATAATAAACTAGCGAGTAAACCCAATGTCAAAATGAATTTGTTGTAGCAAAGTATAACACACCCTACTCTCAATTTACCCACAGGATTAACACTATATAAATCGAGACTAACACATTGAAAATGGAGAGAGACATAAATGAATTAAAAGAAAAGTTAAGATGTTGACAAGTCTTATTTGAATAAAATCCATTAACAAAGACTGTGTTTTATATTTATTTAATACTTTAAAAATTTATTGATATAAAGTTTAATGCACACAGTATGAAGTTGTAATATATCAATAGTACAAAATGGAGAATACCATCTCTTTAAAAAACAGTGAATTAAAAGTAATGACAATGCAAGTACAATGTCATTATAGTTAGTGTAGGCCTAAGCATTAATTTTATCAATAAAGATACTTAATTTTAAAACAAAATATTGTAAAGATTATTTTAAAATATTATGTTAAACTGCAATTAGAGTATTGCATAAATCAAATGTTAGATGTATATAAAATTTTTTGTTTAAACTATTTTGTTACAAATTTTATCTCTAATATAAATGCAGCTGTAAGTCAAAAGTTTCTGTTGCTCTTTATTATAATAATAAATTCAAAATAGTATAAATATACAAATGTAAGTTTTATATTGTAAAACTCATTTTCAAAATAATTCTTTTACAGATTATTTATACTCTGAAGTCATTTAATATGACTTCATCAAATAGATCAAAATATACTTATTAAAACTTGGGAAATAAAAAGAAAAGTTCAAATTTTGTAAAAATATTGTTAGTAATTATAAATATGTAACAATCACAACTGACTGACATAATTTGCTGTAAATGATTAATGGTCATTAAGCGTAGTTAATACGGATGCAACAATTTATCTAATACAATTTCTGTAGTGTATCAGTTTATTTTTAATCAAATGAATATAATTTAGACTAATGAAATTGATTAGTAATTAGCAATTGTAATAGTATCATTATCACAATAAATTTATTCAGTTTTTCAAATCAACGATTAATAAATTACTTAAGAAACTGAATGTGTCTAATAATTTTTTTAAAAACACACATTTCAGCAATTTATTACTTTAATTAATTAATTAATTCAGGACCACTTTAAAAATAATTTGGGTACAATTCAAGGAATTATGCTTTACTTTTTATGAAACCTATCTGATGACCTGACAGATTCTCACTGGACATGTGCTGTTTATCTGAAGTTGATTTATATCATTATTATTATTAATTAACTAAAATAATGTTCTGTATACATAGCTGTATTTAGTTTGCTTAATAAATTACATCCGTTACACAACATTTTGCATATTGTATAGAAATATGTAAATTTCGGATAATTCAAAGTCGCGATTATTTTGTCCCTTCAATTTCAAACTAACAAGGATTTCTTGTAATATTAATTTTCCCATCTCCATCAATCCTTTATTACACCAGTCATTGAAAAACATGATCCTGTTCAACATGTTCTCAGACTGAAGTTTTAAAATGTTAAATGTCAATTTAGTAGCTCAGAGAAATGAATGCAAAATAATCTTGAATGAGTTAAAAAATTTAACACTGCCCACACATGCTGAAAAATTGAGCCATCATCTGCAGCCCTTTGCCATATTGCTGGAAGTATATTAACCCATAAACAAATGACAGAATTATAAAATTATATAATTTCTAGCATTCTGGTTTTCTGTAACATTGAGATGTGTACATATATTCTTATACATAGCTGTATGACAGCCTCCTAGCATCTGGGAATGTGGAGGAGAAGAATACAGAAAGCATAAAGTTATGCCAAACTTTGCCAAAGTGCTCAAAGCTCTAATGAAAGTTAAATATTTCTTTTATGTGAATAGCACAAATTGAAGTATAAAATTTGCAGAAAAAAATGTCAATTGAAACAATGCATTGAGGTTTTACTGTTTATAGACCTTAGATTTGTGTATTTCATGAATTGGATAGTTTTGTTTTCAAGCCTATATAACTCGTTAACTGTTCTATCTAAAAATTGTTATTATCTTGAGAAAATTAATTTACTTAGATAATTATAAAACAAACTTGGCCAACCCAAAATAGCAAACATTTATTTCATTCATTATATATATGATTTGTTTTTCTTCATGATCACTGCATTTTTTAAATTAACTTTGGATATTCATAGTTGCATATCTTAATTGAATTTTCAAATAGTCAGATAGCCAAGTAGTTAAGGTGGTGTCTTCTGCTCTGAGGGTCCTGGGATTAAATCTGGATGGGTCAAGAAACTCCAGGATTTTTACAGGGGGTCATCAGAATATGTTGGGTCCCATCTCTCACCAACTGGCTGTTCCATTGTGGGCCTGGCCAAACCCATAAGGGATTTGCTGAAAAAGATCCTCTTAGTGCCGAAAGGGCAAGAAGAGTTTTAAAAAATAAATTGATTTTTTAGATTTTCACCTGTTAATGAGGTTCAAGCATCATCTGGTGGACTACAAAAAATAATATAGCAGTCTGCTGGTTGGCCAAGCTTGTTCTAAAATGATTAGTGAATAAAACTAATAACTTACCAATTATATATTTTGCATGCTGAACAGCTGCCCTTGCAGTATCAACACTCGTACCAAAACTGCAATAACCATGCTTATCAGGTGGTGTTACCTGAAGCATTGCTACATCGCAAGGAACAATGCCACGATGGAAAAGAAGCGGAATTTCACTTAAAAATATTGGTACAAAATCAGCACGACCAGAATTTATTGGTTCACGGCAATTCCCACCAACAAAGAAAGAGTTACTACGGAATATACCTGTAAGAAATAATTTTTTATAATTTTTTTGAACGAACTTAAATTTGTTGTTTTATCATTATTACTATTTAAAGGCTTAAAATTTACCACTTTAAGTTATTAATTTACCTTAAGAAAATAATAACTGTAAATGCAGTAAATGGAGAGTCAAAAGTTATACAAAAACAGCACATCAACTAATATGAGAAATAATATAAAATATGGATGTCTTAAATGTTTGACAAATTGCATTAAATTTTGGGCTTTATTTTGTGGCTTTGAAAATAACTATATGAAATTGTATAGAATTTTTTTTTATCTTCTATTTTCTATAGAGTCATTTTGAAGTGAAAAAGCCATCTTTGATTGCTTGTTTTTTTAATATGCTGTAATACATAAGACATTAAAGTTTTTTTGTTTTGAATATTTTGGGAGTAATGCAAAATGTTTTGTGTTTTGTTATTCTAAATGATATCAAAAAAATCATATAAAATTTGAATCGAGAAATCAACTGTAGAGTGCTGATGGACTAAATTATTTTGAAAATGTTTCTAGGGATAAATGTTTTGGTAATCTTAACTTGGTGGTTAATTTCTCAATATTTAAATTTGTATAACTTTCAAATAATTTGTTACATTATACTGTAATTATAACTGATGTTTTTAGGTAATTCAATGAACCTAAATTATAAACATTTCATAAATAATTTAATAATAAAAGATAAACAGTTTATAAATTACAAATATGTTAATACCTTGAAATTCTGGGCGAGTATATTCTGCTGCTCCTTCAGTATGAATGTGACAAACAGTTACATCTTTCAAATTTGCTTTCTTGCCATGCTCTGCCATAGCAGGCACCAATATACGTGGTGTTGCGGCAGCTCCATGTACAAAAACTGTGTCTCCTAAAAAGAGTTTTAAAAATCAGTTAAATTCACCTTATTATTGGAAAAATAGCTTTATAACTAATATAATAAATATATATTAAGACATTTAAGACCAAGTTAAGACAAACATCTTAAGTTAACCAAATTTAGTGTCAAATTCTTTCTTCAATGTTTTTACAAGCAAATTTGTCCAACAAAATATTTTATTAGATTCAAATTCACAGTTAAAGTTAATATATTTGTAAATATTTGGCTTCAAGAGAAAACATTACAACAGAAAAATTAACATATAGAAAAATCTAGTAAAGAAAATTTTGAAACATTGAGAAAGTTATAGATTTATCAAAGGAATATTAAAGAAAGAATTAATTTAATAAAAGTAATAGTAAAATTTTGTGTAGAAATAATACATAAATAATTATGTAAATAGTTTTAAAATATATATATATATATAAACAGCAGTAGCTTGTATTTCAAATGGCTTACTTCAAACATTCTAGAGTTCAAACACTAAATTTAAGAGAAATTTGATTCAAAATTTGAACAATGCTTCTATGTTCAAACTGCACAGCAGTGAAAAAATGCATTTTCTGCATAAATGCCATCTGTTGTGTGTCCAAGTCACCTATCACTCTTAATTTTAAGCATAAAAATGGTACACGTGTAGTAGATCAAGCAGACATGTTTAAAATGTTGAAGTTCACAGCATGTACTATTCTTAAGTACAAGAAAGCAAATATGCTTGTAGAGAATCTGGACTGCATTTGCGAATTCCCTCCCATCGGTTCATCGTACCGAACTAAAACAGTCAAATATTTTAACAAAAACCAAACTTTAATCAGACAGATAATATACAGTAGAAACTCAATCCTGTGTATTTAATGAGATCCTTCTTATCCTTCCTTGCCCACTTTAGAACTCCACTTCTCCACTAACTATTGGCCTCCCACCTCTACTCTGACTCTCCTTCCTCACTCTCCAGGTCTCTCCTTTTTCTCCCCTTTTTTTTATGACTGTCTACTGTTGTTTATTACTTTCATGATTTCTTGTAAAGAGATTGAATATGGACTGACAAGTCTGCAGTCGAGGGGAGAAAGAGTAGATTCAATATCACTACATGGCTAAAGGTTTGAAAACAATTGCAAATGCAATTGGTTGGTAATATAATCTTAGAGAGGATTATTTTTGAGAAAGCCAAGCAGCTGCATAGTAGTATGTAATTTTCATTTTATTATATACTATTTACACATTTTCTTTATTGTTTTCATGCTTTAATTCGTCAGTCATTTCGAACATTTAATTATGTTATTTTTACCTTATATGTACTTGCTGTGTAACTTTATCAAAATGGGTACTATTTAGGATCTGGGAGTGGATTAATTCATTTTCCATTACTTCTAATGGGAAAAATTGATTAAGACTTAAAACAATTCAGAGTTTGAATGGATTTCTGAAATGAATTAAATTCAAAATATGAGGCAACACTATGTATCATTATCAGTACCAGCTTAACATCAGTAATTTATCCCTAGAAATTATGCTCTACAGGAATATATACCATATGTATACAGGTATATATATAATGTATTATAAGTAACAAGCTATCACATTAGGAAATAAAATGCTTATAACATTATTAATTGTTTGGCAATCAGAAAGCAAACATTCTACCACTTGTATTGGAAATTTTAACCATAGAATTTTCCCATGCATTGTTTCATTTAAAATGTCATATTAAACATTAATTTTCCCTGATATATATATGAGGTTTGAATATTAAATCTCAAAAGACATTCTACTGGGAAAACAAACCTTGCAGATATTCTACAGGGTATTGGTGTATAAAGTGTGTTTGTTTAAGCCCGAGACTCTGAAATGAACATTTTTTATCTGTAACTAAGCATGATGTAACTAAGCAGTTACTTATTGTGATATCACCACAATGCTGAGCTGAAATTTTAATCATATTTTAATTTAAAAATAAGCTTTCCATATCTGGTTGCAATTCTCAAGAAACTTCTGAATTGAAATCACAACTTCCAGTCCAGAATAGAAGTTTGTATACAGTTAGAGTCTCTGGTTCAAACTCACTGTATCTGGTCTTGATTTTCATCTAACTGCATTTTCAAGATTAATGAAGGACAGATGGACAGACAACAGGGGATTGAAAAGATATTCAATTTGAAAATTGCAACAAAATAATATGAATATATGTAACTATTAATTTTGAATAACCAGTTACAAGTTTCCTTTCAACTAATATTTAATTAATGGAAATGATAAAAACTTCAGAATCAATTTAGAATATTTTCAAAATTCTGATATTCTTCTTCACAGTTATGATAATTTTTTCTGTTACCAGGTTTTCCTCAAAGATCGGCAAGAATATTTGAAGATGCTTGACAATATATTTAATTTAAATGTGCAATAAAGCAATTATTCCTGTATACAGGTATAATTTTTTTTAACTATTCCATATTTTAAAAGCTATTAAACTTAATCACCTGTTTAAAAATCTTTGCCTGTTGTATTATTATTATTCAAAATCTTTTCCTTGTAGAAAGTTATGAAATAATTTACTTCTTTCCTTGTTCAATTTTTTCATTTATCAAAAGATGTAAATTCTATAATTTATCATAAAAAATCACTGTTGTATAATGAAAGCTATTAACATACAGTAAAGTCCTGATAAAGTAAGGTTCTTCATTATCTAAAGTGGAAGAGAACTTTTCAAAAAAGATGAGACTGTAGTATATTATCACTCATTTTACAAATCTTAATCAAGTATAGTACTTAAAAGGGGCTCCAAAAGTTTAAGAACAATTTACTCTGGTGACTTCTCACAATGCAACTTTAAAAAGTTTAATTGTAATCAGAGATTTACATTTGCTTTAATAAATTTGGTTCTAATTAAAAGTATTTTATTGCATAATTTAAAAATTTTAAGTAAAATAATATAGAATTCATCATGCACTTTAATGCAAAAATATAATTTATCAAACATTCTGTGTTGTCTGCTATTTTAATTATCCAAGGCAATCCTCTATATTACTTTGAATAATCTACTACATTTTTAATATATTTTATCTATATATATAAAAATGAATGTATGTCTGTCTGTGTGTGTGTCCTTCATGCATTACCACACCGTTTATCCGATTGCCGTGAAACTTTGGGAAGTTGTTTAATATACTCCAGCGAAGGTTTGTGGCATAGTACGATTGCCATGAAACTTTGGAAAGTTTTTTAATTTTTTAATACACTCCCGCGAAGTACACTTATCCTATGATAGATGGCACGCGTTTACACGAGCATTCGCGCACAGTGTGTTCGATCGATTTCAAATTGTGAAGACCATTTCCCCCTTTCAAAAAATATCTCTATATATGCATTTGTGAACTGTTATTTACGATATTTATAATAATTTTTGTTTAATCACTTTATTTCAACTTTTTTTTGCTAATTATGTATTCGCTCGAACTTTGTTAAAACCTTAACTGTACCCCGAACAACAACCGAAGTTGTAGGAAGAAATTCGCGTATTTTACCGATCTAGGTATCCCCCCTTTTCCAAATTTTAATATCGACTCAAAATAATTTAAAAAGACAAATTACAATAAAACGGTTTATTGTCCGACTATCAGAAATTTCACAACGTGCCAAGGAAGAGAGGAAGGAGCAGTTAAATAATTAAAATTATAAAGGATTAAAATATATATATGGGGAATATCGCGCTTCTGACAATCGCTGCGAGTGTGTGGGCTAAATTTGGAGAATCCGTGCTTCTCGCGTGGACGACAACTGTACGTGGCTGGCTCATGCGTCGGAAAACCTTCCGATTTATTCGTGTACGCACCAGACGGAGAAACAAAAAATATCGTGTATCCACGAGCACTCCAATAAATAAATAGAATTGAAACAACACTTTGAAATGTTTTCCCGATGAAAACGAATAATAATAATAAGTTTCAATAAAAATGATAAAATGAAAATTTAATTTTATCATTACGAGTTTGCTTGAATTTCGTTTCTTCTGAGATCGCAGCAATGCGCGACGGGTAAGCTAGTTACATATAGAATGATGTATGTATTCACATTAACATTTATCCAAACACAAAAGAGCTCTTTCCACCATTACATGAGTATATGCATATGGTAAATTATTTTACTGTAAACATTGTAATGTAAAAGAAATTTATTCAAAACTGGGATGTGTAAATTATATGGCAATACAAATTTTTCCTTCTCTCCCTAGCGCTATACAGTGGCATCCAAATTCCTTTATTTTTAGGATTTGATTATCCAAGATAAACTTCAGTCAAGAATTGTCCAAAATAGAGATAAACAAAAAATAATAAAGTGAAAAATGTAAGTGCTTTTGTCTTTTCACTGGAGACTACTTTTGGGAAATATTCAAGGAATGCAATTCCATTTCATACATTTGTACTTTTCAAATGCTGTCCAAAGGAATTGTCATTGAAGAGAGAGAATTTTGATTGCATTTTTGGAATTTATGTTTCTTAATTTTTTTTCTGTAATGGTATAGTCAAGCATGTGATGATACCATTATAGAAGACAAAATAAATAAATAATGCAGTTTATATTTATTTATTTTTAATAAAAAATATAAAAACATTAATACAGATGATAATAATTTACTTTTTATTACAAACTTTAATATGCAAATGTAAGATATAGCTAATGAATTCCAGAAAATATTTTCTACAAAATGTTAATTTATTAAATTCTAAAGCACACAAGTAAATCCTGAATATACATAAATTAATAAAAATTCATAAATTTCTAACTCTTCAGCATGCCTATTAATTAAATTTTATATTATATTACATTTAAAATAAATCATCAAAAAAAATAGATGATCATAATTACTATGCAATTTTAATAATTTTAATAATAAATTATGATTTATTGCAATTTTTTTTCTTGTAAAATTAGATTGTGATGTTAATTGTGTCATTCAATATTCCCTAAACAATGATATATCAGATTATTTCTGCTAAAAAAACATTATTCAGTATTTAGACAAGATATTCCAGAAAAATAAATTACATGTAAAATATCAATTTCAGCATTAAAAATGTGAATCCAAATGTGTTAAGTACACAATATTATGGCTTAAATTTCTAAATATCAAATTAAAATTGAACTAAAAATAGTTGAACACAAAAAATATTTTTCTTACTTTAAAAACTGTAATTACAGATTATGCTTTTTGCTACAAGAAAAACTTTCCCATTATCAGTTTACTTCCGTCACTGCCAAAACATCAAAAAATGCAAGTCAGCTCTTTCAACTCTTGGTTTAAAAATCCAAAACAATCACTTGGTTGAACACATTTAAAGAAGTTCTATATTAGTTACTAGATAAATGTTTTCAAGAGTTCTCTCATCTTCAGATCAAACATTCATTTGATTCAAAATTCTCAAAACTATTTAACTGTTATCTAATGTGGCTTCTTTAATTAAGAGACTGTTTTAAACTTTTATTTCCTTACAATTTTAGGAACTAAATTTCCTATCTATATATATTAACAATCAATTTAAAAATAAAATAATCTAAAAAAAGCAGAAGTAAACAATTCATAATTTGTTAGTTAATAAAATGAAAAATCAGTTGTACATTTGTACAAAATTTTATTGACTTATACATATTATACTGATATCAAGCCCAGTTATGATAATTTTTTCTGTTACCAGGTTTTCATGATAATAAATGCTAACTTAATTAGTAGCTAATAAAAACAATTCACTAATTATTTCTAATAAGATAAATTTATCAAGATATAGTAAATTTAATTAAAAATTTAGTTCCATATTTTAACTAAACAAATAATAAATTTTTCAGATAAAATAAATTTCTTGAATAATATTGTACTATTTATGATATACACAATTTATTAAATTATCAGCATTTCAAAATCTGATTTTGAATTAAAAAACGAAAGACCTAATTTTAGTAGTAACTTTCATCAAGTTGAATAATCAGTTTTAAAAAAATATTTATAAAAAAAATACAACTTCTTTGACTTAAATACAGTATAACACTGTTGATAATTCCATGTTATATGAATTCCATGTTATATTGAGTCACTTAGATTTTACAAATATGTGTGCCAGGCTCTGAACAGATCACGTATTTGTAAAATCTAAGTGACTTGTACAACATGGAATTCTTATAATATGGAATTATCAACAGTGTTATAGGGGGTCTACTCTAAATAAAAATGTTTAATATTTTACATTCTCCTTTTTCTTTATGCTAATATCTCTTCAAATCATGGCATTTGTCAACTTAAGATATTATAAGATCTTATTAAAGTACTTCTCATATCTCTACACTATAACATTTGAAAATCCCTAAACCTCCATCAAATAATGGACAAATAAAAAATCCCAAGATCCTAAGCTGTAGTCAGATAGTGTGAAGCTGTAAGATCTAACTTCAACAGTTTTTGTCTAAATTTGGCCCCAAATAAGGTTATTTAATGGAAGATAAAATGATATTCAACACAAATATGCTACATTACTATTACAGTTTATTCCTTGGCTATAAAATTATTATTTAGCAAGAAATGAATAATTTAAGGTTCTCATTATAGCGTGAGATGATTTCTTCTGAATTAAACAAATTTTAAAAATGTTTGTTTCAATTTTAAGTTGAAAATTAAGAATTTTTCTGCAGTTCTTCAAGAATTTTATCATAATTTTTAATGAGGAGGAACTGGAGAATGGATGAATGAATTATATTAATTAACATTTAACATTTGCTAAGAGAATGCTTTGGATTCATAAAATTCTATCATTTACAGCATAGGCACATACTAACATATAATTTACATATAGTATAATTGTTTAAATTGTTAAATATTGAATAAGATGAGTGTGTTTATTTTTTTATTATAAACAATCTCATTTCATAACAAAAAATTTTTTCTTCATAGTTTAACCATTATTCTAATTAATGTGTCCTATTATAATACATGTTGTAAATTTACTGTGGAAACCTTAAGGAATGCAAGGGTAACCATGCATAAAAATAGGTCTTACTACAATGATGTCACATGTGTAGCTTTACTGCCAGACATCTTGTAGACTAAATAAAAGACACATTTAAAAACTGATCTCTTACCAAGTTAATTGTTTTAGACACTCTGGAATGATTAATGAGTGGTTAAATCAATTTAAAAATGTAACTATTTTAGATAAAAGTTACAATTTTAAAAAATTTAATATAATTCTGTATTTTTATTGAATTAAAAAAGATTATAACAATGCTTATATTTATTTAATTTTTCAGAGAAACTTATTCAAAACAATTATAAAAACTTTATTCATTCTATAAATCATTGGTATAATAATGTTACATTAAGGAAATATATATTTTATATGAAAAAATTAATTTTCTCCATTCATTTTAAAGAATTCTATTTTCAATCAATTTATTTTGTATAGAATTTCTACAACCAGTAATGTAAGAATATACTTCCTCTTGTGAAATATATACAGGATAATTATATCATACCTGATTTTTAATGTATTTTTTAAATTTTAAATCAATCTGCTATTTTTAAACCTTAAATACTATTTATTTAGGTAATTTATATATGTCTGCAACTCTGATTCATTGATTAATCAAATATTATAACTAATCAATGAATTTATATTGAACATTGCAGACAAATAAAAAAAAAAAATTTAAACAATGAGTCAATAGAATCATTTATTATATTTTAAACTAAATTTAATTACATTAAATAGGATAACTTTATTGATTCGTATACAGGCTTAATTCATTGTAAATGCTTAACAAAGTGTATTTTTTTTTTTATTTTTGCAAACTGTAAACAATAACTTGCAAAATTATAAAAGAATCAAAATAAGAGATTCTGTATTATTAAGTAATTGTTACAAATTTAATATTGATTCAAGAAAACTGTATTAAAAAAAGTTCAAATAAGAATGGCAAATCAATTATTTCTTTTTGCTTATTTTGTGCATAAAAGAAAACAAGCATTAACACTAAAATCCTATTTTGTTACAGAAAATTAACAATTTTCTGTAACAAAATAGGATTTTAACAAATTTATTATTTTCTACATTAATTTTGATGTGTGGGCTTTTTTGCATATATATCCCATTTTCAGAAACAAAAATCTATTTTAGCAATCATTATTATATTATTCACTTTGAATTTTTTGAGAAAGATGACAAGTGCAAGTGTACTAAAAAATATTAAGGAATACTAAATCTTTTGCTCAAAACTTTTGATAGCTTTAAACATTAAAGGAATCATTAACCTTGACAACTCAGGAATAAATAAATAAATAAATAAAAAGAAAAATGTTTATATAAAATATCTACACATTGTTAGAGAGAAAAGAATAAATCAACAGAAAATGGCATTAAAGGGCTTTTTATTCCTTTGCTTGTGCTTTTGATATTCACATAACCATCGTCATCAGGCAACAACTCAAATCAAATACTTTTTCAGAACAAAACTTTTGAATTGCAACATTGGAACAATGTTAATTGTATAAATACAAAATTTTTGAACATAGAATTTTAAAAACATGTTTAAAAATCACTTATGTTGTTGAAAAATTAAATAAATTGATTGAAAATAGAATTCTTTAAAATGAATAGAGAAAATATAATTATATTAGGAAATGAAAATGGAGAAATATAATTTTATTAGGAATGTATACTTTCATTTTAATTTAGACCATCTTCAGAATAAAACAAATTATTATTTACAATTTACATTATTAAATATTTAAAAAAAGCATTCCATTTCAAACATAAAAAAATAATTTAAAATTCATAAATACAATAAACTTATGTACTTTGAACCAGTTGATTCCTTACATAGAAAACGCTAAATTTTCTTTAGTTATTTGAGTGATTTTTCACAATTTATAAATTAATTTTCGAATTCTATTTAATTTCCAACTTAATGTTTACAATTTCTATAAGAAATAAACCAGCAAAGAGTTGCTCAACTTTCCCGGCAAAATTTAAAATTTTACTGGCGCCATCTGTTATCATGTTTTATCTAAAAACCTTCTTATAATTTTAACTATTGCAAAATGCTTAATTTAGACAGGTTCAAACGACGTTTAAACCTATCTTAAACTAAGAAAAACACTATTAAAAATAGGTTACTAGATATAATTATCCGGTGCATATTCTACAAGCGGAAGTACGCCCGCACCCAAAATCTATATTTATGTGAATGTAAGGATCCATTGCACAATATAGAGATAACACAGATGCGATTATCGGAGTTAAAAATCTATAATTACGGTTGCTAACCTGATTTTATAAGACTAACAGCTTCTTCGGCCGACGTCCATTTGGGTTGTCTATTCAGAGGTTGAAACGGTTCTTTGGAGTAGGTGTAATAAGTTTTTGCTACGTTTAAACGCGTTACGCATCTGTTTTCCTGAAGACACTTGCATAAAAGTCGAGAAACCGAAGAAAATGATCTAACAACCATTTCGTTTGAGTTTCCGTAGTAAACGCAGTCAGTCGACGGCCCAAAATACTCCTAGTGACGTCAGCAATCGGAGATTTGGCAGTATCGTCTGGCAGAATAAAACTTATCAATTTTTTATTTCGTGCAAACTGTTAATTTTTGTATTTGTTATTTTTAAATAAATTTAATTTTTTTTAATTTTAATAATAACGGCTCTAAATTCCGACATTAATTTTATTGTTATCCACTGTGTATATATCTTTAATTAAAACTTTTTTATATACTCTTTATGCTCTATGGACACTAGAGGGCCTCCTTTTAGCAAATCCATTATGGGTTGGGCCCAAAGGTCCTAGAATATATTCTAGGACCTTGGGTTCGGTAAAGGGCGGGGTATGACAGATCCGAAAGATTTCTGGAGTTTTTGACTCGTTCGAGTACGATCACAGATCTCCATTAGTGACGGCCGAATGCCCGTGGCAACCTACCGCTCTGGGGACCCGGGATCGAATCCAAACGGGTCGAAAAATCCCCAGGAATTTTTCGGGGGTGGTCTGTCCGGATAAGTCGGGCTCCGTCTCTCACCTTGTAGGCCTGGCCGAATTCATGACGGGCTTGCTAAAAATGACCCTCTTAATGCTCACAGAACGGGAAAGAGTTTAAAAAAGCCAGTGTTCATAAATCTGCCGCTCATTCTGAACCAGACGCTGCTTGTTAGTTTTTCTGACTAGCGGCGCTCTTCCAAAAAGCACTCTTTGTTTCATTTGTCTGCAGAGACCTTTTTTTTTTCATTTTTTGCTCTTTCCTCCCTGAAAGCACTAAGAAGGGGGCCTTTTTTCCATACTCATCATGGATTCGACCGAGTCTACAATGAGACAACTTAGTTGCCACAAACCCAGAACTTTTCATGAGCGATCTGTCCCGGATATTTAGGATCCGTCTCTTTAATTAAATATATTGTTTTATTTGCTCCCGTTGTAGGCCTGAAAAACAGGCCGTCTTAGTGCCCACCTGACAGAGTCAAACATGAACAAAATCTATAGTCTATAGACAAGAATCCAAATGTTTATATTATTATTTTTAATAATATTTGAGAATAATTTGTCTTCACAAAATAGAAATTTTGAATATAAAATAGACTCCAAATTAGAGATATTATATTATACTGTTTATGCGTTACAGTATTTTTATGAGAAGCGACATCTACCGGAAAAAGTTATATTTTGGAAGTTGTAGTGCCATTTATTATGTTTACTGTTTTTAGTGTTAAAACTTTTTGGTACAAATAAAGAATGAGACCTTTAACCGAAGAAGAGACACGTATATTTTTTGAAAAATTGTCTAAATAGTAAGTATAATAATAAATATTTAAGTAATCAGAGAAAAATATAACACGTTACTAACCACGTGGTAAGTACTGTTAAAAACGTACTTACCACGTGGTTACAATATACTTTTAAATATCAACAATAAAAAATTTGAATCTCTGTTCAATTCTTAAAGAAAGATTTGGTAGAAGTTAGGAATTTACTTTCAGGTCATTTATACGTTTGTATGTGTATGAAATACTTAAGAGTAACTTCTACTAAAAAGAAGCTGAGAAAAGCTGTCACTCAGTTAAATAGGCCATACATTCTTCTATACTTTTATTTCTGACTGTGTTGATGATTGTACAGAAGGCAGCTAGATGGCGGAAAAGGAAGCTAAGATGTCTTCATGCTTTGGACTTAAATCTAGTATACCTAGTTGGAATTCTCAAAGTAGTATGTCAGACCTCATCCTTCTCCATTTGTGCATGAGTTTGAATACTTTCATGAATTGTATAGCATGGCATTCAGAAATTGACTGAAATTATAGAAAGAGTACATAAATATATGCAAAATTAGTGGTCTGTCTGCCTAGAATGTGGATTATTGGTAACACTGAAATACCATGTTATTTATCAGCTAATGCAGTTTGTATTAGCTTATGACATACCTACATAATGTGGATTTTAAAAAAAGAATGGGAAATTAATTTGATGCTTTTAATTATATTACATCAGGAATCAATTGTTTAGCCATAAAGTGAAACATTGAATAAAGCACAATTTTTTTTTTTTTTTTTTAAATTATACAAGTTCATTAAAAATTACTGCTGTTGGAACATCATTGTTTTCACTGTTGACATGACTCAGGAAAAGACTTTTTGGGAGAAAGCTGATGTCACAGCTTCAGACAATAATGTTCATTCAGTGGGGAACATAAACAATCTCAGATAAAAATTAATCTGAAAAATTGTTCTATTTATATATTTTCCACACATGCATCAATGCACCAACATTTTTATCATTTATTGTCATTGCAAAGTTAACTCAAGACTGATTTTTAAACTTTCATCACAAACATAGATGCTTTCTTTTTGAAAAGTTAATTATTTGGCTCCTCAAGACATTTTGGGAGAAGTAAAAATATTATATATTAGTAAGAATATTATTTATATTTAAATAATATAAAATAAGAAAGTATGATTACTTAGTTTTACCAAGATTAATATAAAAGCAGTAATAATGGACTCAAGGATTGGTAATGATCACTCATGATCATTGACTGTTGAAACTGCAAAACACAATGCATAGAAAACATGATTGGCCTGAATTCACACACATTCCAATGATGAAGATTATCATAGATAGGAACATATAGATGATGTAACCTGGCTTGTATTTCATTGATCTATTTCGTTTTTTAGCACGTTCCACTATAGTAGTGAAGTGCTTATGTTAAGACTTTTATGTGTCTGTCAGACATTATGTATTCAAGATTATGATCCATTAGATCCATTCATTACACATGATCTGTTCAATCCATTTATTGCACATGTCCACAACACACACTTATTTGGGGGCAAAGTGCGTGTTAGAGACCTGGCTAAAGAGAGAGAACGTGTGCGAAGACACTCCAACTGCACTGTTGCATGCAAAACACGTATATAGAGACCTGGGCTAAAGATATATAGAGAGCGATGGCAGACTTTTCTCCAACTACAGATCAGGTGTATATAGAGACTTGGGCTAAAGAGACATGAAGTGCGCATTATACGCGAGACACATGCATGTATAGAGACCAGGGCTAAACAGACAAATCGGACGATTCCTACGGGAAAAGCATTAGAGACCCAGGCCAAAGAGATGTGAAGTGTGCATTATACACGAGACACATGGCCTACATACATGCATATAAAGTGACAGAATTAATGTCACAGATGTTCAGGAAGAATAAAGTGCTTAAGAGACCCGGGCTAAAGAAGAGAAGCGTCCAGCACACTCCAACTGCACACCGTTGCAACACACGGCCAAATTACGAGAAAAAAAAACAATTCAAAACTCACCTTAAACATGGGAAATTCGCTCCTTTCCTTCCTCTGTGCCTTCAGATTGACGATTATTAGTGATATTCTCACATTTGATGCTTAATAACACTCCAAAAGCTCCATTTCCAAGCTCCTAGCAAAATGCACTCTAGCAATGTCCACATGCATGCACAAAAGGGAACTGAACATTTTCATTTATGGTCACTGTAAGCTACCAGGTTTCTCTGGAATCTGTAAACCACATCTCCTACTGTATATTCAGTGAAAAATTCTTCTGAACAATTACTTGATTCCAAAAATTTGTAAAATTTATTTTAAACAAAATTAATATTTGATTTGCTTTTGTGGAGCATGCCATCAGATCAGCTTGGCCAATCTTGTTAATACAATTCCAACACACTTATATTGTTAATGGTTTTTATAAAATGTAACAAAATTAAATATGGTGCATATATGTATTTTGGATTACTGTTAAGTACAAACAGTAACAATATTTATAACTTTTATCAATGATTTATTTATGGTGTAGCCTTTTATAATTTTTGAAATTATTCTCTACTTCCCTTAATACAATCACACCTACTCAGCATGCTAAACATTGGTAAACCTATGACATTAAGTGGCTTACTACATTGCATTCAGAGGAAGAACAGACTAGATATTGAGTCAATGCCATTTATTGCCCTCTTAATTTGTAGTAAATATTGTAATATGCTTTTAAATAACAGAAAGTGAAGTACTAACCATATTAGATTTGATAGATTATTGCTTGAAAAAGTACTTTTTACATTTTGACAAATACTTGCAACAGATGTCTCAAAGATAGAAAAGCTCTGTCGTGAGTTAGTACAATGTTATAATTTTCAAAAAGTTTTTTGATCAAAATATAAAAGTGTTTTATTAGAAAATATTAATTGTTGATCAAATTTATCAAGAAATTTAAGAGATTTAAAATATCTTAGACAAACAATTTATAGTTTAGTCTAGAATTTTTTTTTTCAAGAATTATGTGAATATTTATTACAGATTATTTGATGAATCCTGACAAGGACATACATGCATTATAGAGTCAGTCCGCAAAAAAATATCATTTGACTGTATTGATGCTGGCACAGTTGATTAGATTACTATTTAAATGTCGCCCATAGAGTTACTATGCATACTTTGTTATATACAATAACTTCAGATAAACAATTATATACAGAAGAATTTTGTTTTAATGGATCACTCAGGCTGCCAAAAATTATCCGTTGTTCCAAGAATTCATTGTATTGAACAATGGATTTCCTGCACTCAAGAAAATATCCGTTATTTGAAAAAATTTCTGTTTTTTAACCCTGATATACAAGAAAAACCAGTACTTGAAATTATTCAGTCTCTTGAGATCTCTATTCTTTATACTATAGAAATACATATGTTTGTAATGTACATGTATATTATGCCATACATGTGTACAACAAAGCTGAAAACTGTACATCCTGTAAGCATAAGAAGAGTCAAATTACATATGCTCACTAGCACTTTGCTTGACTTCACAATTTGTTAAAAAACTTGTCCATCTTGGTTTCTTTCGATGTCACTTTTCTGTCTATTGAACACAACACTGCTTGATATTAGCAATGTTGTGTAAAGTACAGCCTGTTTGTTTATGCTTAAACTCATCTGGAAGGTCTTCACAACTTGGAAATACTCGATGGCCTTGCTAAATTTCAGCACTACACTTGAACCAGCGACAGTGTGTTCACTAGTGACTCCTCCTCAATCGTATCAGCCAGCCAACTCTCTTTGTACAATTCCTCAATTGTACATATCCCAAATGTAACAAGTGCATCATCAAACTCTAGAGATTTCTAGAAATACGCAAATATTAATTAAACAGTGAAAAAATGAGAAGTTTACAATAGATTTGGGTAGGAAAAGACTTATTCCAGATAATGGATCCACTAAAAGGAGGTAAAATTAATTGATTTGGCAGTGTCTGGAAAAAAAATCTGGTGTTCCGCAATCCATTAAAATGAGATTCTACTGTATTAAGCATAATAAACAAGCTTAATTCATAGTTGCATATAATTACTGGTCTATGTAAATTTATCCATAATTTTACCCATCCACAATGAGAAAAAGATTGAAAAACACTGCTCTAGAGTACTTAGTGTGTATAAAAGCTGGTGATTGAGATGTGCTTCTGATTCTGTTAATTCGTAGAATCTGTGTCCATTGACTACTAATGTAGACTTGTCCTTGCTACTGTGTATCAGAACAGTGTGACCAAGATTTGTGAAACACACTTTCCTCTATTGTATTATATTTTAAATAGTAATGAGTTTGTATTTTGTAGGCTGACAAACTAAATTTCTTAAATATAATTTAGCAATTCTAAGTTGACAGATACATTATCATTTAATCGTGGTTTTTAGTTTGAGATCTAAAATTAGTTTTATGGATAGATGAAAGGACAAATCTCCAAAGTCCAAAAATTAAGAATTTCTGCCTTAGAGCTTTGATTAATGATCAATGTTTTAGTCTTATATAATGATTAAAATTTTATCAACAAAATCTGATTTGTTATAAAACGTTAATATTTATCTTTTGTTTAAAGGTGCGTTTAAGTTGTTTTTAGATATTAAATCTTTAGAAAGTCTTAAAATTTAATTCTAGATTTACCAGAAGTTTTATGCAGTAAATTGAAACATATTATTTTGTAATTATTCATATATTAATTAATTGTTTAAACTTTATAAATAATTTGATAAATCTTTTAGTATTGGTGAGAATATCAAGCTCTTGGTGGATCGTCCTGATGGAATTTATTGTTTTCGGTACCATAAAGACAGAGTATATTATACCAGGTAAGAAAAGCTACTTAAATTATAGTTTTCATCAATTTAATTACAATAGATTAAACATATGTGTGTGAGCATAAGACAAAAATGACTTTTTTTTTTTAAATCAAATTTTTACTTTAATTATTCATACATATAATTTGTTATCACAATTTAATGATTATACATTAAAAAACAATGATAAGTAAAATTACCTTTTATGTTTTGTATTAGAGAACCTTATTTAAATTTAAATAAATGTTACATATGTTTAGAAGTATTATGTGCAGTATGCATTTTTTTTTTGTAAAAAAAAATTAGTGCTAGTATGGTATGCATATAGTGACTGAACACAATTGTATTTACTGAGCAATTGCTGGTACTACGTACCGGCTATTGATACATTTAGTGCTATCTGCCTGTATACCAGTAGAGTTGCCACCAGGCTGGTTTTCCCCTGGACAAGCCGGTTTTTAAATTCGTGGTTCAGATTGATTATTAATTTGTCCAGTTTTCATAGAAATTGTGAAATTATGATAAAACAAAATAAATTTATAAAAATATTTGCGAGTATTTTATTTTAATGGTTAAACACTTTAAGCTACACACCAACCGAATGCCGAAAATCTATCGGGCTAGTATAAGGCTAATTATTAAATGAATTACGTAACCAATTTGGCTTTAGAGGTAAGCGTTAGGTGCCATTTTTTATTAACATTAATAATTATAAATAAATTAATTAATTTAAATAATTTAGAACCGCTGGGAGAAAAAATCGGCCCGGAGCGGGACTCGAACCCACAACTCCTGCTTACCGTGCAGATGCGTTGCCAGTTACGCTATCCGGACCTCCAGTCCGATCTCCTCTTCCAGAGTATATAAGCTAACTATGTAACCATCGACGGTTATATATGCTGGAAGAGGAGATTGGACTGGAGGTCCGGATAGCGTAACTGGCAATGCATCTACACGGTAAGCAGGAGTTGTGGGTTCGAGTCCAGCTTCGGGCCGATTTTTTCTCCCAGCGGTTCTAAATTATTTAAATTAATTAATTTATTTATAATTATTAATGTTAATAAGAAATGGCACCTAACGCTTACCTCTAAAGCCAAATTGGTTACGTAATTCATTTAATAATTAGCCTTATACTAGCCCGATAGATTTTCGGCATTCGGTTGGTGTGTAGCTTTATTATATATCAGGTGTAGCGATGTTTGTAAACACTTTAACTTTACACCCCCCCACTCAAACTTATCCCTAGGCTAAGGGTGTGACAATGTAGATGCAAATTTAGTAGTGAGCAAGCAAGAGGTTGCGAGTGATATAGTTCTCGCAAAGAAAAACATGCACAAGCGAGAAGCGAGAAATCTCGCTGGCGTGAGCGAATTTTTGGTTCTCATACATATCTGACAGGGTTTGATATTTGCTTCTTCTTGCCACATATTCTCACTTTCTCGGAAAATTTGCTCGCTCGCTTGCATCTGCATAGTCTGATCTTAAGAGTGACAGAAAATGTACTTTTAAAATTCTAACTTGTAAATATCTATGGCAAATATTAGGTCTGTTCCAACACAAGGCCATAACTGGTTTAAAACTGGCATGCACATTATTCAGTTCTTGGCTGTAAAATAATGACATTGCACATGCCTTATATGGTTTCAAATTCAAATTAGTCAGAGATTTGTGTTGGAACAAACCTATTGTCTGGGTCAACAATTTTGAAAAGGTGGCAACACTAATACCCAGTGTTGTGAGGTTGGTAAAATTTTACTATTGATAAAATGTGAAGTATGAAAAATACTTCTTAATACTAATTAAAAAGTATTTAATTAATCTAAAGAAATTTCTTAGAAAATGGATACTTTGATAAATTTAGATATCAACAAGCAATTATTTATTGTGACATCGTCATAATGCCGGACTGCAATTTTTAATCATATCATTAATTTTTTAATTTAAAATATAGGCTCTCCACCTCAAATTAGTACTGTAGTGTCTTGCCCCTGTATGCCATACTTTTCTGTTAGTTAATAGATGACTGGCATGACTCTATTGCTGTTTTCAGGGGAAAAGTCTTGAATTGAAATAATGCAACTTCCAGTTTTCATCAGAAGTTCATATATAGTTAATTGTGGCTTCCTGCCCATAAGGTTTATCTGGTCTTAGATTTCATCTTTCTAACTTGAGATTAAGGAAAGACAGGTATCATAAAATGATACTTTATCAAGAATTCTCAGCTACCATGAACATATACAGTAGACATACATGTACTGGTGCAATTGAAGCCTTTTCATCAAATCTCTCATGCTCATGTATTGAACTCCTAATGACACTCTATTCTGACAGTATTACAGATGCAATATTAAATGGATTTGATTGTAAAATAAATCAAATAAAAGTTTTTTTGGACCAAGATGTCTCAAAGAAATGAAATTCTGCATTTTAAATATTTATACAGTCAAACCTGTCTATAACAGAACCTGTATATTGAGGAAATGGAAAGGAAAATTGGACCATGTAACGGAAAAATGGGTATCTTTATCTGATTTAACACAAATTTAACAAGAATTTTACAAGCCTAGCTTGTATAAATCATTAAAAAAAGTCAAAAAATACACATAAGCAATACAGAATAGCAAAATACTTTATTTATACAACTAATATTACACTAATTTTATTAGGATTTAAACGGAATGTTTTTGCATATTTTTATTAACAGCAGTTTTTATTTAACATAACTATCACGTCTTGTAATTACATCATATATTTAACATATTATTCCTGATGTGAGATTGTGTTCTTTGTTTTGAAGCTTATTTTAAACTTTTTTATATCACATTTCGTTTGAATAAAGTCAAGTCAAAATGTCTGCAGATAAAAGCATGTAAAATATGCCTGATGTGCATTTTAAGTTTTGTAAAGGCTATCACGCTATACAGTAAAAAATACTTGTACCATTTGTGGGGAAGATGCTTCTAAACTCCAAATGTGTCAAATATGGTTTTGAAAGTTTCATTTGGGAAATTTTGAACTGAAGAATACAAAATGTATAGGCTCCCAAAAGCTGTTGATGAGAAAGTGTGGGAAGAAAGGATTGACGAATAACAACTCGTGAACTTGCAACAAATCTTAGTGTGTCACAGATATGTATTGTTGAAACACTTCATCCACTTGAAATGGTTGTAAAACATGCTGATGATTGTTTTCCGCATGCAGTTTTTTTTTCACTTATACTCAATTCAACTCGTTTTATTCATAATTTTGTCTGACAAAAGTAGGCAGCTATAAGGTTTTATTATATTTTTAAATTGGTTACTCATTTTTAACTTAGAGGACTTTTTACAGATGAATGAAAAAATTAAAGTTAAAATAATAATAATTGTTATTAACTGAAAATCTGTTGTAGCATGTGGTGATTGTTTGGTCGAGTACTGAGGTATCACTGTATTTGATTAATGCAATTTTAATATACGTGGTAGCATTGAGAAATTTATTAATTGCATTAATCAAGGGATACCTGTAGTAAGGTAATCTGTATATAGCAGAAACCCGTCTACTACGGAAGAGTCATTTGGTCCCTTGGAGTTTCATTATACACAGGTTTGACTGTACATATAGATGACAATTGGAAGATAGCATTGAGCAGAACAGAACCTAAATGAAACAAATTGTATTGAAAACAAAATAAAACCACAGTTTATCCACTGAAACTCATTTATTAGTTTTGATTAATTTTAATATATTTTATTTCTTTCTTTCTTGCTATCAATTTATATTAGTATTTATTAAATACATAAAATATTATTTTACAGTGAGCAGATATTGAAATTAGCATATAACATAAGTAGAGAAAACTTAATTAGTTTTGGAACCTGCTTTGGAAAATTCACAAAAACAAGAAAATTTCATCTACACATAACAGCATTAGATTACTTGGCTCCTTATGCAAAGGTAATTATTATTATATTTTTAATTGATGGTAATTTCAGCATCTCTGGAATACTGATTTTGTAACTTTGCCATTTAAATTTAATATAATACTTAATTAAATTGAGTCCAAGTCATATGCTTTACTTGGTTATAAGAAAAAGCCTTACCTTAGTTTTTGGAAATTGATATTTTATTTCATTAATTGAAGAAAACTTTGTTTCTTTCTAGCATAAAGTTTGGTTGAAACCAAATTCAGAACAGCAATTTCTTTATGGTAATCATGTGATGAAGTCTGGTCTTGCAAGGATTACGGACAATACAGAAAAATATCAGGGTGTAATTGTTTGTACTATGAGTGGACTTCCTGTTGTAAGTTTACAAAATATAAAAATAATTTTTAAAATAAATTTAATAATATGAAATCAAAATCTGAATCATAAATTACATTTTTACGTATAATTATGACCTAATCAATATGATAATTTTTCAGTTTATAATGAGTAATATGTATTTTGTTTTTCCTTTTTCTTTATTTCATGTTCTAGAAATTATCAATAAATTAAAAAGGAGAGTATCTTTTATATTTTGTAGGGATTTGGAGTGTCGGCCAAATCAACCATGGACGTCCGCACTTCGGATCCAATGGCCATTGTCGTTTTTCATCAGGCAGACATTGGAGAGTACATCAGATGTGAAGATTCTCTGACTTAATTTTGTATTTATAAATAAAACTTTTGTTTTATTTACTATTCCATTTTACTGTTTTTTTCAATCATGTTATGATGGATATCATCAGGGTGTTTAGAAAATAAGATTACAGTAAATGACTAGTGGCCACATCTGTATGAAATCACAATGACCTCTTAAAATATCACCCACATTTCTTTGCATTTAGAATTTTATTGTCCATGATGGCTTTTTATAGAAAATTGTCCAAAATAGCACACACTTTTAATGACTGACTCAACAGTTAGAGCTAGAGGTAACCAATAAGTGTTCACATACTAAAACTAAAGTAAATTGGTTAACTTCTAATTCTTAGTTATGAATATGATTGTTAGTGAGTGTAAAGTTACAAAATCAAACTTGATTTGATTGTCATATTTGAGAATCCCTGATCTAGACAGTGTACTTTAGTTACTTTTGACAGATGATGATGGATTGATGGCATTTTTTCACAAGGTAAAATAAAAAGTAACTTACAAATAAATTCATTTGAATTTGTTTACTTACATAAATGCTTATGTATACATAACAGCCAGGAAAGTAAAATAAGAAGGGAAGGTATTGGAATTTATTTCCTTTAATATCTCAGGAATGGGTAAAGAATTAAGAAATAAAATTTGGCATGGAGCTTGTGTATGAGTGGTATTGATTCTATTAAATTTTGGAGGTTAAAGGTCAAGAGGGAGATACATGTGATCCTCTCTATCTCCAGCAAGGTCAGACTTAATAAAGATTTTACTCATTATTAACATTTACATTTTTTATAAAACCCATCCTCTCAAAATTAAACTTTTTGCCATTTAAACACAATCTCAATAGCCAGAAAAGTCAAACAACTTGTTGCTGGATTTTTTTATTTAAATCTGAAAATGTAGATAGATGATTTTTTTTTATGAATGAAATTCTTAGGACTTCTATATTCATTGACAAAAAAGTTACACACACACACACACAATTATCTGATTATTACAAAACTCAGCATGTCCAATCAAGTATGTAAATGATAATAGTCTGAATTCTTGCCAGATAAATTCAACCAGAGTGCCTTAAAATCATTACCCCAGTATCACATGAAAAAGCTCACTGTATTCAGAATTTTCAGTGTATCTGTTTGGAGGTTTCCAAACTAGGAATGTTGGACTACATAGTTGTGCATAATATCCTTGACTGACAAAATTTGAGAAAGGTCACATCAGGTCGATAGAAACGGGATGGCTGTTTTTTCAAACTGTCCACCATCTGGGCCATTCTGACATGATTGTACAGAAGTATTAAGGACAGTGGATATATGAAGGTACACATACACGATGCTCCCATACACCAGACAGACTAGCAGGAGAGATGATTGATTAATTGTGAGACAAGTATAGCTGCAATGTCATCTTCATCTGCATCCAGAGGCAGGTGGAAACCTTGTTACAGAACCCTTTCTCTTCCTATACCATTGACAGGCAACATGCAGAAGTAAATTTGCATGCATGGTAACACTCCTATCATTAGTACTCCAGCATAACTGTCTTCATTTGTAGTGGTACCATGATAGAGAAGCATGTACTGCTACAAACTGGAAACATATTGTCTTTAGCAATGAATCCTGGTTCTGTTTGAGATGGATGACCAATGGTAAGCCCTTAAATCTTTTTCTGTTGAATTGCAGACCACTCCCACTGCTAGGGTGCCATCTTGTATGATTGTAGTAGTGGGACATTGATGACACAGGAGTACATTTTGGAATTCTTGCATCCTTGTTTATTGTCTTTCGTGGAAAGGCTGCAAACAACCATTTTCCAGCAAAATAATGCTCAGACACACAGCTAAGGTTACCCAAGAATGTTTCCATAAGTTGCTACACTTCCTTGGCCTTCCTGGTTTCCAGATTTATTGCCCACTAAGCATTTGTGGGACTAGATGGGATGCCAACTTCTGCTAGCTACAAGTATGAGGAATCTGGAGCAACAGTTGCAACATCTGTGGGCAAATCTATCACAATGTGTCTCCATGCATCCAGGCAAGAGGAAGTACTAAAGGTTCCTTTAAGTTGTACTGTTGTTCCACAGGAAATTGTCCCTTTGCTAGTGTTGCAATCACTGCCATCACATTGTGTTTGCACTAATAAAGTTTCATTTGATTCATTATTATTATCATTATTTGGCTGGAACTTCTTTTTTCAATGAGTATATTTGTTCATTAGGTTAAGTTTTTATACACTTATCTTAATATTCTTTTATTCAAGGAATGTATAACTCTATACATCTTTGGAACAGCATTGTACTAAAAAAAATATGGCACATATACTAAAATTCTCCATAGTTACTATGGAGAATTTTATGAGACAAATGGTTCATTAACTATTTGTACCTTGTACTGTACCTCTTGTTCCTGATGTTTTTAAAATAGGGGTATGTTGTTACACAGTATATATATATATATATATATTAAGAAAGAAAGCTATAAATATAAAAAAGTTATTCTCCTTATCCAATACTCCTTATCCAATATTTCTGTAATATAACTGAAATTATTAGATATTATACACTAAAAACAACAAAAAATTAATTACGTTAAAAGAATCTTTAAAAAAATCACAATTAACAAATGTTGGAAATTTAATTCAATTACTTTTATTTTTTTAATAAAAAAATTACAATTATTATAATAAATTACAAAAACTTCCATTACTTTTTTAAAAATAAATATCAAAATTATGCTCAAATAAAACTTATTTTACAAACAGGATGACAAAATTTTATACTTTAAAAAAGTTTATAGCAATCACTATTGTACAAAAATGGTAAATACTGTTACAATCAAGGACATCAAAATCTGTGACAATAGTCAAAAATTAATTAATTTACTTTTAAAATTTCATATTTTTATTCAAAACATTTATATAAAATCTACAGATATAATACTATTCAGGGAATGTCTTTTACTTCATCTATGTGCAATATGAATCAAAAACTTTTATTTACTAAGGATACATACACTTTCTGATGGAACTGCTTGTATTTGATATAAATTGTAAGTGATTAACAATTTACTTTCTGAGCAAATATGTGTATTGAGTGATCCAGTCAAAAAAGACGTAACTAATTAAATTTTGTAGGGTAGTCGAGAGAACAAGTGCCAGTTTGGCATTCTGCCAGATTGTTTTTGGCTAGAAATACACCATACAAATAATTTTCATTATCTACCAGAAAATTATGTTTATTATTATATTTTTAATCTTATCAAAAAATTATAGAAATCACAAATTTGTAAAGATCATAATTTATTATTGTTTTGCACCCTTTGAATCCCTAAAAATCAGGCTTACTTTCAACCTGATTTTTGTAACATCCGAAGAATCTGCAACAACTTCTAAAATGTCACAAGATCCTCAGACAGCCATAATTTATGTAAAGTTAAACAATTTATTTGGTATTGAATGTATCAAGACAGAACTTCAAAAATAGGTTAAAAACCATTGAACTAGGGAAACATGTCTTCTTGAATAAACAAAATTAAACTCAGATTTATCAATTGTTTAACTACAGATTCCATTTATATGTAACAATTATTTAAACATAATATATATTTTAAAAATTATTTTAATTCTCTTCCTGTTAAGTCATAAAAACTTTTATATAAATTTAAATATATTATAGTTCAAAATTTTAGTTTCACTGTAAATTTAAAGTATTTGCTATAAAATATTGAATTTTAATATAAAATAGCAATTTAAAATTTAATTCGTTTATAAAAAAATTTGTTAAATATCTACTTTTGAGAATTTATCATTTATTATTTCAAATTTAATCTAAAATAATTCCTGAACTAACAGTTAGGATAATACTGTATACTGTTCATCTATGGAGTGATCAAATGAAAGGTAGAAGTACTAAAGAAGTTTGGTGACACTATGAGTTACACCTCATGATATGGTAAGCATTCTGTATGACATGCTTGTTGCATTATCTACTTATGGTGTCATGAAGTCATTTTCACAGCATTTCCAAATTTTCTGTAAATTCTACTTGAACCTGATATGATCACCTAATATAATCAATCATCATCTGATAAATGATATCCTTTACAAATATGAATTAGTAATATTAATATAACTCAATGAAGTTATGAATACAATGTGGTTAACAGCTAAAGCAAATTCTGATTTGGTAGTTACATTATCTAATATGTTCATTTGGGATAAAATTAACTCAGATTCTAATTTGCATTAATTCCTATTTAACAGTTATGAATTTGTTTGAGATTATATTCTACAAATGTTTATGATACAATTCATTAATTACATGATCTGTCTTAAACCTATGGGAAATTAGTGTCAAACTGATGATTGTTGCATTCACTTTCATGTAATGTAGCTATTACCTTTTCTAATGATTGGTTTATCAAGAATTTTTGCACAAAAATTCAGATCAAGGCATCATTCTTCTCTAGCTAAATGTCTTGCAGGATAGCCCCATCCATAAGGAGTAAAATTGAATCTAGCTATGTAATGCTTCCTACCAACAACTTCAAGCCTCAGACTTTCTTCTGAAACTAAATGCCATACAGAAAATACCACCTGAAGAGGACAGAAATGAATATGCTACATAATTATTCCATATTTCATGCCAATAAATCCAAAGCTTTCTATATAAAATGTGATCACCTGATTAATTCTCTCTTATTTTCCTAGAAATAAGAGAGATTCCACAAGTTTTCTAATATTGTACTGTTTTTATGCAAAATTAAGATGAAGACAAACTGGAATGCAACTGATTGAGGAAAAATAATACTTGCATTGATGATATAAAATTTTATATCTTCCAATACTATTTATTCTACTTGAATGTTTTTAAACAATCTTTCATTTTTAGATTTCTTTTACTACATTGTGTCTAAGATTAAGATAAAATTAATAGTAAATGAATTGCAGAATAAATAAGATAAACTGAAAACATCTCTCTCTAATCTCTTAAATTTTTTAACAATGAAGATGAATTAAAGGATAGAAACTACTTGTATTTACATTAAATAA